ACCATAAATTACAAATCCAATTCCAAAGTAATGACACACTTTTCATGATGATTTCACCTTGTCAATTACCATAAAATTACAGTTCTGATATAGAATGCTGTGTTTAAATTTTTTGCGGTGTCCTCTTCCCTGCATACTTTGCAGTCTTCTACTGTTTTTACATGTCCTCGAATTTACTTTCTTCCAAACTGAGGCAAACAAAAGCTGCAAATGACAGAAAGCATGGGGACCCTTTTTTTGACCAAAGCCCAAAGATTAACAATTGCAACACCCCATGTGGTGAGAAAAGCAATTCCTTGACATGTTCTTCCTTGAAAGATAAATGGAGGGCCATGCATGTGTATGAAAAAATTTGTTGGCAAAGAACCCTAAATTTGGTCCACCAAAACATAAGATTTGTGCACTTAAAAAATTAGATTGCATGCATGTGCTCCTCCCATTTTTATTCCCCCCAAACAATCCCTTCTGTTATCTGTTTTTCTCAGTAAAGTGGAAAATGATTTTCTTGGGGACAAAAGTAGGGCATTCATTTCTCTCTTTTCTGGTTTTTCTTTTTGCTTTTCTTGCACATGGTCAATACTATTGAATTAGGTATAAATATCAATTTTTTGATGTTTTGTTTTCATTATATCCTCTTGATTGAAATGCAATTTGAACCACCAAAGAAAACAAGAGAAGAGCATTGTTTAAACATCTGGCCAGAATGTTCCACAAGGCAAAGGGCTTGAGCCAATGGAAATAAGGGGATTTACTGCAGAAAGATACCTTATTCTCCATTAATGGTGGAGTTCAATATTCAATGGATGTATCCCTATTTAGGCTTTGCTTATTCCCTAATAACTTCCTGTCATTAAAAGACCATTCAAAACCCAAAAAAAAAAAATAATGAAAAGAGTGTCGGTTTGTCCTGTTCTTCTCATTATTTTATGGACAAGAAAATATGCCTCACCCTTCAATGCATCTCTCTCAGCATTCAGAATTTTATCCTTTTCATGGAACTTATATAGAACAGAAGAAAAGATATTCACAACTTTTAGTTAGTATGATTTATATTCGATATCAGACAAGAAGATGAACCAACTACAAAATTGGTTAAAAGTTACCTGTAAAATCAATATGACTTTGTAGGTTAAATAGTGAAATAAAATAGTGGCCAAAACATATAATTTGATGAATTTCTGTCAAATTCCTGTTAAATGCAATGCAAACTTCAAAACCGGTAACCCCATTGTCAAGATGGCAAGTTTTGACATCCATGTTTCATTGGAAACGGTGTTTGAACATCTTGTACTGTGAAAACATTGTAACAACCATAAGGATTTGACAGCAATACTTTCTCAATAATTGGGTTCCACCTGTATCATTTTTTCCCAAAATGATAACTGATTTGAAGTGCTTAATTTGTCCGAGACTTGCATCTGAATTATAAATGGGGTCTTCAAGTTAAGCATATGCTCCTGTTTCCCTGGATGCAATCTATTGTTTTTGGTCGTGTCCCAGCTCGGTTTTGCTTTGAGTTTGTCATTGGTTGTATTTCCCTTTGTTCCTTTGTTTTGGCGTAGCAATCAAAGAAAAATACATGAAAGAAGTACACCAAAAAAAAAAAAAAAACCACATTAAATGGAAGATGTAGAACTACTCGATCAAGTGGGGTTTCTTTGGTTCAAAGATTGGAACATGTCAATCTGTTTTGCTTTCCTAACAGTCCAACAAGGCCTGAAAATGAAGGACAGTCGCTCCTAATGAACTTAGCTTGATTATCTTTTAAATTATTAAGATTTCTTTATATATATACTTCATTTATCTTTATACAATTTCCAATTCAAAATACAAGATTTTTCCTTTTGAGGGACGTCTTAAGAAATTCAATGCATATATATCGAGTGAGCCCCATGGCCTGTTTGATTGCAGGAAACTGGACAAAGAATAGGATGGGCAATGCAGCCTCGATTCATAGGGCAATTTCAATTAAGTTTGTGGTGCATACTAAACCCCATGTGAGATTTGAGACCCAATCAAAGTCATTGTCCATGAAAATAGTACCTCATAACCCCTATTTTATAATCTCCTTAACTCTAATATGGTACTTCTTCTGTGGTTTTAAATATAACTTCATTTATAATTAATCACAAATTTCTCCAAAAATGAGTTGCATCTGAATTAATTACTAAGTTAATAGTAATGTTTTCTTCTTCTAATCATAATTTAAAACAGTGTAATAACGTGAATTAATGAATAACAACACTTCTTTCGAAAAGAAAGGTACTAGGTTTCATTTAAATCCCATGTAATACAAAGAGAAAACATCATGTTTAGTAGTTTGATGGTGAAGTGAGTTAGGTACATGGAATAGTGTTATCTTGAAGCAGACATGCAGATGAGTTTATATGGTTATGTAGGTAATTGGTAATTAAATAAAACCATGTAAGCTACAAATCATGCCAATTAGTGGAACAGGTTAGCTGTAATGTTTTCAACTTGACTATGAGTCTATATGACAGGTTGGTTTAATTTGTTTGCATAAGCAAAAACAAAAATGTAAGTGAAGCTGCTCCAAATTACTCAAACTGCACATCAGTCACCCCCAATGCAAGCATCTTTTGATTATGAAACTTTTTCTAAACTTTTGTCTTTAACCACACATTCATGATTTTTTTTTGAATAAAAAAGTTTTATTTTAATTTAATATTTTTTTATAATTTTACATCACGTGTCTAATCTTATGATATCAATAAAAACTTTTATCTTTCAAACGTAAACTATTAATTTTTATAAAAAAATAAATAATTTAATGATAAAAATGATGTTAATATATAAATTTTATTAAACATATAACATAAAGTTATAAAAAATAGGACAAGAAATTTTTTGCAACCAAACAGCAGTTATTACCTAAAAACATAAAAAAGAGCATCATGGGCTGGACAGTTAAGGCCTTTGAAAATGTCCTGCTGAGTTGTTTACCCTGCTTTGGACTTGAAACTTGGTCCATGATTTCTATCTGGAGACATGGTAGAAGCCCAAGGCAACATGTTTTGTCTAGATCCAGAAATACTCAAGCTTGGAGACAAGACTTGCAGGCCCACTTCAAATATCTGCTCATGGATAACACCACTTTTGCGCTTTGTCCCATGGATATTTTCCACTTTTCTAAATCAAATCTTGGTTCATGTTCCTGACAGAACCATGGATGCTGATGTTGTTGTGAATGGAGGTCAAAGGATTTTACGGCTTCTCTTGTGGCCGTCGTCATCGTCCCCCATTCACGCGTTTGTCACTGTATTGACAGCTTGGGATACGGATAAGCTTTCCTGTCAAGCTGTTTTTTCCCCTAGTTGCATAGAAAATCCAAGGTTTGTACCAAACATGAAAGAAGCAAGAAAACCCAATATCATGTTAGTATTTTATGGTTAAATGATCCATTTGTTTACTGGAAATGAAGACTTTTACTCATCAAACTAGTTTCTACTAGAATCTTGAACACATCAAAACATGTTAAATTGATAAATGTCAACACCGACCTCCAGGAAAAAGCCACACCGGCCAAAATTGAAACCAGGAAAGAGAGATTGGGAGGGGCTCAGGGCCAAAACAACCCAGACTTTGCTTGAAACTTGCTGATGATTGCCAGAAATTAGTATTGTACGAGCAATTTGCTTTAGCAGTAACCATGTGATGCAATGCATGCAATGATTCATGGAAGGGGTCTGTCAATCCTTCTCCGTCCTTGATCTGGAGTGGAAACATCGGAGAAGGAAATCTGATAATGTCATGTTGTAAGACGGAAACATCCAAGAAGTTTCTCACTTTTTGGAACTTTCTACTTTCCTGTCTTTAGGATACCTCGAAGGGCTAAAAGACTCTCTCTTCCCTCCATGTATGTTTGCTTATAGCCTTCAAAATCACCAATTTTGGTTAACAAATAAGCCATAAATGGAATAGATTTGTCTCTGATCTTAGCTACTTATTTTAGCAGCATGTATCTTCACATTAACACTCTAGGTAAACCAGACAGGTCTGTGTTTTTTCCTGTATCTTGATGTCCACCTATCCCCATGGGAAGGATCAGTGCAGAAAAACAATGCGTGCTGAAGCAGTAACTAATTGGAATCCACATATTCATGTGAATTATGAAAATATCTTCGAAGCAAAAAGCATAAGACTTGATTTGAAATGAAAAAAACATTTTAAAATTCAAGCCAACTCTGTTGTTTTCAAATGTCAATATCTAGGTTTGCTTTTCAGGCTTATAGTTATCAGACATAAATGCTCTCTAGCACAGCAAGTTCAGTACTGATGGAAATTGCAACAGGAAAAGGGGTGAAGGACCCTCTGATTCATGTCTAATGGCATCTAGTCTGTCTAATTCAAAGCCATAGAACCCCAAGAAAACAGATAATGTTGGTTTTTTTTTTTTTCTAAATGGATTCCAAATGCTATCTCGGGGGCCTTTTAATCTAATTATAAATACCCTTTTTTTGTATAATTCAGGTGATAATGAGAATTTAAATTTGAATATAGATCAGAATAATTGATAAAACTTATAATCCTTCAACAACTTTGAGTTTGACTTAAATATTAAGTTTGGTGAAATTTTAGTAAAAATCTTTAGTTATATGACATATTTCTATAAAATCAATAGACACCTTTTGAGCGTAGTTGGTGTTTCTTTTTCAATTTTACATCATGTCTGCAATTTTATACTATAAATGAAAACCTGAATTCTTAATGTAAGATAAAGGTATTTAAAATTATAAATTTTCAAGCAAAGAAGTTGTATGGTTATATTAATATTTTTAACCCAAAAATGAAAATTAAAAGTGATGTCCAATAATAGGTAACCAGACAATTTCTCTAATGTCTATGCGTCTGATTGGGAATAAGAGAATTTGCTAGGAAAGTTCCTCACAATTACTTGAATATTTGAATTTAGGATTGAGATGGTTCCCCAAATATTGCTTTATAAAAGGACCACTAGGCAGTAACCTTGTCATGCAGAGTGCAAACGAGTGGGGAAGTAGAGAAAAAAAGGAAGAAGCAAAAGTGTTTTAAGGAAGGAGTGTGAAAACATGATGGAGATCGAGGAAGTAAACAACTACGAGGCACTGCCACTTCTCTCATTGAATCATGTCTCGTTGTTGTGTAGATCAGTTTGGGATTCCGTGCGGTTCTATGAAGAAGTCTTGGGCTTTGTTCTCATCAAACGCCCCTCTTCTTTCAAGTTTAATGGAGCTTGGTAAGCGTAGTGGTCTAGCTAGCCTTCATCTTCTCATTCCTTTTTCAATGAAACAGGAGATTTTCGCCTTTTGTTTGCAGTAAGATGTTAAAATGACCGGTCTGCCTGATCTCGTGCAGGTTGTATAACTATGGCATTGGGATACACTTAATCGAGAATCCAGCAATTGATGATTTTGACACCATTGTTGAACCACGGCCAATTAATCCCAAGGACAATCACATATCCTTCCAGGTATAATATATGAATTCAAACTGAATCTTTTCGGAAACCCAACCTGCAGCTTTGATTTACTGTAGCACCTAGCTTTGTAGGGAGTTGATACGATGATGATTATGACAAGTTTTTGTTGAAATGGTTTGTGATGGCAGTGCACAGATGTTGGCCTTGTCAAAAGGAGGCTGCAAGACATGGGAATGAAGTATGTCACAGCTGTGGTTGAAGATGATGGGAATAGGGTTGATCAGGTGTTCTTCCATGACCCAGATGGGTACATGATTGAGCTCTGCAACTGTGAGAACATCCCCATCCTCCCTCTCTCCTCCTGCTCATTCAAGCCAAGGCTAAGCAGTTTCAAGAAGGCTGCACCAGCTAACTGTGGATTCATGGAAAATGTGATGATGGAGAGCTTGAGCATGGACATGTTGAACATCTCATTTTGAATTGCACAAAAAGAAAACATTGTGAACAACTTCACTTTTCTTTTCTGCTATTCTATGCTTGCAATTGTTTTACAGGTCTTATATGGTCTGGTGTCTTGGTTCTTCTGAAGAAATTGTATTGGTTTTAGCATTTAATAAGTTTGTTGGGAATTGAGTTGTAATCCCTATGTAATATATACACCCTTTAAGCCTAGATGAGGCCTCTGATTGTATCAACATTGGAAATATGGCCTCTGATAGATCAAAAGGATGAAAGAAATGATTCTGCAAAAAACAAAGGCAAGAGTTTGCCGTGTTCTGCCTTGGCCTGGCAGGGCCAGCTGCCACTGTTCATCTGTGAAATGTCAATTTTGCAGCAGCTGCTGCGTTTTTGTTATAAAACAATTTTCTTTCTATAGCAAAATATTTGCTTTGTTGCTGTCAGGGCCCATACCTCATTAGATTCACTATTTTATCTCACAAAAATCACTTCACAAGTTAAAAATAAAATAAATATTTAAATATCTAATTTCATTTTAATACACAACCAATGTAAATGTAGGATTCACGATTCTTCTAATTCATGCTTTCTTACCACTACAACCATTCCATCAGATTCCCAACTCAATTTTCAAATTTGATTTCGTCAGCTATTCATTTTTGTGGCAGGGGAAAATTGTGGGCAGCACCAATCAAAAGGAAGGCGGGAGGAAAAATGGACACCACAGGATCACAGAAACAAATATCTTCCAACTGAAATGTGCAATTGAGGTTTCTCCAAATTCACTTCATTTTGATTCAATGAAGTCAATTATTACATCAACAAAAAATCTATTTCACTCTGTTTGATCATGTTGGTTTTTGTAGAGGAAATTTCTTCTCAAGGTGAAGGCTTATCAAATTCACCATTACCCTCTGCTAACCATCCCAGAGATGAATAGCAGTCAGCTGATATAGTTTATCAGATGAATCATTGCTGCAAATATTCTTGTGAATATCATCAAAACTTTGTTAGATTTATGATGGTTCAATCGAGACGAGACCAGTGAATCCAAGCAAATATAACACTCTGTTATGACTTTGTCTCATTTTCATATAATTAAATCTTAAAATTTTATACAGAATCTGTTAAAACGATACAAGAACAATATTTAAGTATGATACAACAACACGAAATATCGAAGTCTTACTACGATCTTGAAAAAAAATTCTCTTTTTTTGCGAGCTGTCTATCCTTCAAGCCAACAAACATAAGATTACATTAGCCCCATCTTATCTCATAGATAATAGTACTATATGTAGTGGTATACTGATTGAACTGGCCATTCATTGGCCATCGTCCATTTGTTGTGGTGGGATGTGCTTGCTTCCTCAATGAAGCAAAGGGTTTTATTTTGGATTTTCATTGTTGGTTTTTTCTTTTCCATGTGGATATGCATGAAAGAACACCATTAATTAAAGAACCCCAATGGTAAAATTTATTTGATAAATGTTCAAAGAATACATTGTATTCACTACTTGAAGCCAGGTGAACTAAGATCAAATTTGAAAGAATTACTATTCCTTTTTTACTAATCAGGGACATGAGAGAATAATACTATATGTCTTGTTTGAATAAATTAACAATAAATCATCCATCAGCCACCAACTCCTACAACATTTGACCATAAATTATTAGAGAAAAAGTAGTAAAAAGAAAAGAATCTCAATTGGTTAGACATTTAATTTAAAATAAAGAGAATTATTGGTGTTCCAAATCATGATTTCTGCCACCTGCAACCTTTTTTTTTTTAATTTTTCATTCATTACTTGTTGAACCTCATCCATGACCAATAAATCATAGCAAGGAGACGTTATAACTATTCAACAAGTTCAGGAAACTATTTTGTTTTCAAATAAAAGTAATACGTATGCAGTGTTAGTCAGCTTTCTAGTAGGTACAAAATTGAACACCCCCTGTGTAGGTGAAGACAAATCAAAACTTGTGAACTTGTCTTACTGGAAGTTGTTCAAAGTTTGAACAACTTCAAACTAGAAGTTAGTAGCAGAGAAATTTTGATTTGGGTACAACAAACAAAAGGGCGCAGGAAAATTGGGTACAACAATCATGGAAACAAGAAATGCCTCCTGTATCAGGTATCAGGCTATCAGCAACTTTAATAAGGAGGGGGAGTAAATTGTGGAACCAAATTGGTACAGATTTCTCTCAGAGACGGAGAGAGGGAGAGAGGGAGAGAGAGAAAAGGCAAGATGCTTTGTGGATGGCTAGGCTTCCAGAAGCAGCAAAGAGAAAGTTAGAAAAGAAACCAGACCAAAGTTAATGAAAGCAAAGGGGCCGGGGGGGCGGGGGGGGGGGAGGGGTTTTTTGTATTGGTTGTGGGGGGAGGGAAAGCTGGGTCCCAAAGCAGATATGTGACTGGTGGGCAAGATTAAAGCAAGAGACGTTCTCAACCCCACAATTGCCAAAAGCCAAGACTCTCTTTGGAAAAACTTGTGGTGTCCATCAAGCGAGCAAATACCAAATGAACCAAACCAAAAAGTTGACGAAACAAAACACACCTCCACTCGCCACTCTCCGGCTCCCTCTCTCTCTCTCATTCATTTGTTATGTCTTTGTGCCTGCTTATTAAATCCCACACTTTTCCCCACCCTTTCTAAGCTTTCTAGCATCCAAGAAAAAAAATCTTTCTTTGTTCTCCCCTATCACCAATCTTAGTCCTTCCGTCATCATCATTATCACCAACTAACCCCAACAACAACAACAACAACAACAACAACAACAACAACAGCTGCCTCTGCTTATCATTTCATTTGATTATAGAAACAAGTTGTGTTCTTTTGTTTTTTAGTTGGGCTGTTGGGTTCTTTCTTTTTTTGTTTTGGTTTCTGGGGGGTTTTTGTTATGTGAAAGGAAGATGGATATCTTTGTTGGTTGATTGGGAGAGGATGAGAGTGAGAGAGAATTATGCGTACCCTTTGTGACTCTTGTGAAAGTGCTGCTGCTATTGTCTTCTGTGCTGCCGATGAGGCTGCTCTTTGCCGCGCCTGTGATGAAAAGGTTTGTTAGTTCTTTCTTTCATTCTTTTTGCCTTCTTTCTTGAATTGATTCTTGTTTTTCTTCTTGTAACTATCTTGGGGGTTTCTTTTAAGTGTTAACTGGACCCCATGTGGGATTATTGTGGCCTATTCTTCTTCTTTGTAGGAGGCAGGATTTTTCTCATAGTTGCTTGCTAGTCCAATTGTTTCTAACTACTACCTGCTTGATATTTGTTTTTTTTTTTTTATTAACCCCAAGTAAAGGCCCCTCTTTTCTTCTTGAAGATTGAATCTTTTTCCTTCTGCGGTTTCTTCTGTACCACTGTTAGCATAAGCAATTGTTCAGACTGATCTTTCTCTAAATTCTTGGCTGCAATTCTAAAATTTGATGAATAGTCTTAGTCTAAAGAGTACTTTGAGTCTTTTCTTCATGTAGAAGAGTAAAAGATTGTATTTTTATGAAAAGTAGATTGGTATAATTTATTTTATTTCTTGTCAAACACTTCCTTTGCATGTGTTCTTCGAACTTGTTTAGAAGTGGAATTAGAATTCTTTTATTGTTCTAAGTTGTCCTGGAAAATCGAATCTTTTGCTTTGAACTGTTGATGGGTCTGGCAGGTCCACATGTGCAATAAGCTTGCTAGCCGGCATGTCCGGGTCGGGCTGGCGAATCCCAGTGATGTTCCTCTCTGTGACATATGTGAAAATGCACCTGGTATGCAGGTGTCTTTTTGTCTTTTGCTTTTCCTTTAATTATTGACCTGCTGCCTTATCAGGTTCTATAGAAGTTTGTTCAACTTATGTTCATGCCTTGAAATGTCCATGTAGCTTTCTTTTACTGCGAGATAGATGGAAGTTCCCTTTGTTTGCAATGTGATATGATTGTACATGTTGGAGGTAAAAGAACTCATGCAAGATATCTTATATTTAGACAGAGAGTAGAGGTTTGTCACTTATCTTTGAAGAGAATTGCATCATTTGTTCCTTCTGGAGTTTAAATATGCCCTTGGAATTTTATTGCTTCGGTTTTTATGCAGTTTCCAGGGGATAAACCTGGTAATGTTGAGGACCCAGCTTCACAACCAGTGGATCCTGGCGAGACCAGAAGAGGCCAAAATCAGCCAGCTAAACCAACAGTGGGAGAGAGCCAACAAAATCACAAGGTCTCTTCTGTTCAAGTGGTAGATGCTAATGCTGATGGTCATGTCAAAATGGATACTAAAATGATAGATTTGAATATGAAGCCTCATCGAATACATGGACAAGCCTCAAACAATCAGGTTAGATCAATGTTTACTATTAATATACCTATTTACCAAACTTCTCCGGTTCTTTTCTCAGCATTTGAAACACGTGATCTTGTTCTTTCAACAGATGTTGGTGTCATTTCTGTATTAACTCATTATGGACTGAGATTGAGAAGCTGTCTTGTTTAGAAGCCCTCAAAATTTCATTTATGTGCAATAGGCTTGCATTTTGCTTCGATGCATGAAAAGACATAAACCTATATATCAGGATTATATGACCTTTCAAATAAGATTGTAGTATCAAACCGAGAAGATATTAAGGATACTTGAAAATTTGCACAAACATTTCTGTCTTTGATTTACAAGTTGAACTGCGAGGAACGGTACATTCCTGAAGTTCATAATGTGACAGCTTTGTTCTGAACTTAATACAATCATTGCATTTCTGCTTGCACATGTAGGTCCACCTACACCGCACAATCATTCAGGAATAAAACTATACATCTCATATTGTTTTCATAAGCTTGCAAAATCGACACCTGATGCCTGTTTCTCTGTCTGAAGGAACAATAATTTGCTGTTCTAAAACAGCAGCGATGATGGGTATGAGTAGGAGACCTGGTTCCCCGTTGGTTAAATTTCATATGGAAGCCAGAAGCCTGGAGGCCCTCAGTTTTACTTTACATCAACTGCTCCATGGTCGGTCAGCCTATCCTCTCCATGGCGTCCCCTTAAACTGGCCTAGTTTGTTTAGGATAGATTCTCAGAACAGCTTTCATAGTTCATACTGCAAAGCAAAAGAATGTAATCCACTGCAAAGGGATTGATGCAACGATCTCTTCATTCTTTTGTTAAGTTTTGTTTGCGGATGTTGTAAACACCGGCACTGGGGAGTCTGTGGTTGATGCTTGAGATTCAATGCTTGAAGGGTTATGCCTTGGTAATCATCTAACATGATCATTTCCGATGTTTTTGTCCCGAAAAGATAATTAGAAAGGGTAATAATCTAAAATACATCTTAACATTTAATTTATTAATTTGTGCATGATTTAAGTTTAAAAGAATATGTTCAAATCTTTCTTTTCTCAATTTAAGAGAAAAAAAAAACTTAATGTTCTTGGTGGATGATTGATGGATAACATGACTCAAAGCTCTTCATTGTTGATCAATGTCATCATAGTCAATAATAATTGGATGAATTAAGTTGTGACTGAGGTCTTTATCTAGTTCATTTTAATTGATTTTTTAATTATTTTGAGTTTTTTTTATTTCAATAATTAATCGATTAAGAAGGATAATGTATTCAATTATGTTAGTCGATTTTTAATATGTAAAATTTAGAATTGAGTCAAGGAAAAGTTGACCATTAACAATATATTTTAAAAAATATATTATATATTATAAATATTTTAAAATATATCTCAAAAATATGTTAAAAATATATTATATAGAAATATTGTTAATATTTAAAATATATATCAAAAGATCAAAATAATCAACCTAATTGATTGAGATAAATCAATTTTAATTATTTTTTATTTTTTATTATAATTTGATTATTTTAAGTAGTTTTTATAAAATTAAATGAATTTTATTTTTTAAATTTTAAAATAAAATGGATCAAATCAATCAAATACATTTGACTTTTACATCAAGTGAAAAAATCATGAAAAATATTTTTTATTTTATATATATATATCAATATCTAAATAAATATTTTATTTTTCAAATGATAGGATTGGTAATTGAAAAATTAAAAATGCATTAAAATATTGAAAATCAAACACGTGTGTTGAGTTTGATAACAGCAATCATGTTTCGTGTCGAAGCTCCGCGCTTGTCTGGTCTGGTGTTGAGTTTGATGGCAGCAATCTTCAACGTTATCTCTTAACAGAACAACCACTGTTGGTCTCCAAGTTGTTAAGAAACTAAAAACACTCGACTTTTGGTTCCGAACTGGGGACGGGCAACGGCGACGATGAGGCTGTCGGAAGCTGTCGCGTCGGTCTGGTTGCTGTTTCTTGTGGCTCTGTCGGGCTTCGCCCATGGATTCGTGACGAGACGTGCTTTGCTCGACCGCTTGTCTGGAAATAGCAATTACTTAACCACTAAAGAACTCTGGTTCGATCAGACTCTCGATCACTTCTCCCCTTACGTAATTCTCTCACTTTCTTTTCTTCTTCAATTTCATTGCTTTATTCCGAAGTTTCCAACCTTTTTTTTATTGCATTCATGAAATTTCATTAATTCGCTGAAATTAGCTAAATTTTTAATTTCTCTTTACTTAATAAATGTTAAATTAATTCCTTTTTTTGTGGTAGGATCATCGTCAATTTAAGCAGCGTTACTATGAATTCCTTGACTGCTTTCAAGTTCCTGATGGTCCAATTTTCTTAAAACTTTGTGGGGAATCGTCGTGCAATGGCATAGCCAATGACTATATCAGCGTAAGTTCTAATTCTTTTTAACCCCAAACTTCGTACAGTGAAAAATGATTTGATTTTGGAAGAAAAGTTGTAATCTTTTCATTTTTGGTTGGGGGAGGTGTGGTTTCAGATTTTGGCAAAGAAGTTTGGGGCAGCTGTTGTTTCACTTGAGCATCGTTACTATGGGAAAAGCACTCCTTTTAAATCGCATACAACGGAAAATTTGAGATATCTTTCATCGAAGCAGTCGCTGTTTGACTTGGCTATTTTTCGTCAATGGTATCAGGTAATAATGGGATTTTTCTTTCAATTTAATGCCATTGTTAACTTGCCTGGTGTTGTCTTAGTGGGTTTATGAGATGAACCTAATTCAATGTGATCATATTAGTGGCTACCTGATTTGTTATTTTTGTTTGATGGTGCTTCCATTTTGTAGGAATCCTTAAACTTGAAGCTGAATAAAACAGATGCTGAGAATCCATGGTTTGTTTTTGGTATTTCATACTCCGGTGCTCTTAGTGCGTGGTTTCGTCTTAAGTTTCCTCATTTAACATGTGGAAGCCTGGCAAGTTCTGCAGTTGTTCTTGCTGTTTACAACTTCACTGATTTTGATAAGCAGGTAAGAGATTGATGCTCCCTTCATCCCACTTTTTTGTGTTACATTTTACTATTAATCTGTCAACTGATTAATTGTTCTCAAATACCTGTAAACTAATATTTACAATTAGTTTTCTTTGTAGGTTAAACATAGGAATAGGGAGATATAGTTGTTTTAGTTTGTTTTAATATGACTTTATATTTGGGAAATCCAGTTGTGAAAATATGATGAGATTAGGTGGTTCTACATCCTTCAAATATCTGCTTGCATACTTGGTCTTTTAGTTCCATATCCTTATTCTCCCTTCAGTTCTGGACTTCCTCGTCACCTCCATTCTCCTTATTTTAACCCTCTCCCATGTGCAGATTGGTGAGTCAGCTGGTCCCGAATGCAAGGCTGCCTTACAAGAAACTACTCAACTTGTTGATCAGAGACTTCCATCAAATGGAAAAGAACTGAAGACACTGTTTGGCGCAGCTGAGGTAGAATCTTCTTTCCTTGTAGTTCTCCATAGGGGACACCCTCTACTTAAACTGCAAAGGGATGAGGTTCTTTTTAATTGTCATGTCCTAATCTTAATGCTGACATTTTGTTTTTGTTTCCAGCTTGAGATTGATGGTGATTTCCTCTATTTTCTGGCGGATGCAGCTGTTATAGCGGTAGATTTTCTTTCTAGTATATTGCTTTCACTCTCTATTACTTTTGCTTAAATATGATCTTAAAGCTTTTAAACTTGCAGTTCCAATATGGAAATCCAGATAAGTTATGCACCCCTCTTGTTGAAGCAAAAAAGGTTGGAGAGGATTTGGTGGTATGCTCCTCTCTTTCATTATACTTCTTTACAGTTCTCTGAGAGTATGAATTTCTCTTTTTTGTTATTAATCGTGATTATGATTTGTGGGGAAATCATTTCCTGTACCTCATGCAGGGTGCCTATGCCAAATATGTCAAAGAGTATTATGTTGGAAGTTTTGGTGTCAGTGTTGAAACATATAATCAGAAACACTTGAAGAATACTGCTGTTACTGAAGGTAGTTCTGATCGACTTTGGTGGTTTCAAGTTTGTACTGAAGTTGCATATTTCCAGGTGGCACCCTCAAATGATAGCATTCGCTCTTCAAAAGTTGATACAAAGTATGTGTTTGAATATCATGTTATGTAATATATACGAATATTCCTTTCTGTGTCCGTATTTCTGCTTTACATATTGTTGTCAAATTGCTAAATTCCTATAGTTGTATTTGTTCCTTTTGTATGCTTTTGTGCATGTCTGATTATGCAAATGAATTGCTCATTCATGGCAGATACCACTTAGATCTTTGCAAGAATGTCTTTGGAGAGGGAATCTACCCTGAAGTTGATGTGACAAATATATACTACGGAGGCACAAAAATTGCAGGTTAAAACATTACCTTCTTGTTTTTCTGCCTTTTCTTCAATGTGAATTTTTCTATATCTTTTACATAAATATTTAGTCTTCTAGCAGTAGAAACTTGATTCTTTCCCTTCTTTGGTCATCCCCATAGAAACTGCTGCTCCAGAACTGCTTCGTTTCTTCTAGCTATCTACATATGATTTTTCTCTCTCACATGCATCACCCCCCACCTTTCAACCACCTGCAAACACAGGCTTGCTTGTACCTGTCTTCATATGCCATTCTCATGCCAACAAACAGAGGTGCAGCACACATTGATAAACTGTTGCACACATGCACAAAATGGCTGGGGTATTCTGTACCTAGATGCTCTTATATCAGAACAAATGCTTCTTAATGTCAAATATCATTTCTTGATTTCATTTCATGGAAATGGATTATCTATCTTCGTACACTGAAGGCCTCTGTTGAGCTTGATTTGTGGTTTTATTCATTCATTTTCAGCTAATATTTTTGGGATTTACATAAGTCAAAAACAGATTAAGTATGTTATATGTGAAGGAAAAGGAGTGATTATATTTCTGAGAGAGAAAAACATTAGCTCAAAGTTAAAAGAGATGGATGATTTCTTTAGCATTTGAGGGCTAAATGATTAAATAATTAACAATAATGGTTTAGATTTTTTTTTTCACTATATTCTCATGCTCCTGCTATTGCAATCAATAACTTTCATTCATAGACTATTCACTTCTTTTTTACAAAAATATAAATTTGCAGGTTCAAAAATCATTTTTACAAATGGCTCACAGGATCCATGGCGTCATGCATCCAAACAGACATCGTCCCCAGATAGTAAGCTTCGTATATTATTACCAATTACTTTGATGAATACCGAGCTTCCAATTAAAAGAAGAGACTTTATACGAAGCTCTTCCTCTGTATTTACTTGACATGACAATGTGGATGGTATGGCAGTAGACACCTAGATGCCTAATAGGCTACCTCTTGATGATAGCTGGGCCTAGTTTCCCGATGGAGCCAATTCCACTTAGTGAGAAAAAGGCTAAGTTTAGTTTTGAGATTATCTAGAAATCACTTATAAGGTGCATAATGTTGATCAATGACTTCACTGTAATTCACTTTGTTGTCCTATTTCACTCTCTAATAACTTCCTTTGGAACATTCCACTTCCAGTGCCTTCCTACATCATTACTTGTCATAATTGTGGCCATGGAACTGATTTGCGAGGATGTCCCCAATCACCCCTAAGCATTGAAGGTAAGAATTTGTTTATTGCTATTGTCATCTAAACTATATTAAAAAAACTCCATATCTTCAAGACTTAAGCACATATTCTTAAGTCAATTATGTGCTTGCTTTGTGTGGCAGTTATGAACTCTGCTGCCGTATTCTCTTAAGTTGTGATTTTTATTTTTTTCTTTTCAGGTAATGCTCAGAACTGCAGTTCCCCTGATGCAGTTCACAAAGTCAGGCAACAGATCATAGAAAACATGGACTTGTGGTTGTCTCAATGCAAGGCCACAGGTAGGAGTTACATGTAAACATGTATGGCTGAGAATTGATCACTTTAACCTTGATCTCATGTATGTTACCTTCTCAAAAGATGTTTAGGTGATTATTATGAAAGGCAATGCCAGTATTACTTGTCCTCTTGTACACGTTTATGTATGGCAAAAATGCTTAAATGTGAGAATTGATCACTTTAACCTTGATCTTATGTATGTTGGTGCTCATGATGAAAGGCATTGCCAATATTACTCTTCCTCTTGTATACTCTCAAACCCAAAACTCAAGCGAATAATATCCCTTACTTACAGTCAATTTCCTCTTTTCTTATCCTTTTTCCATGTGTACCATTCAAATGTCTGATATCAACCTGACAACCTCTTCATTGTTGCAAATGGTCCATGTGACCAGACCCATATCATTGATGCAAGTTGTTGGATGAAAAATATTTATAAAATATAGATGGGCAAGAAAAAAGACGATAAGGATGATGAGAGGAAGAAGAAGAAGATCCAGCACTGATGATGACAGCAGTAGCAGAGAGGATGGATGCCAACAAGTAGTGGGTGAAGCAACTTCTTGAAACAGGTAATAGTTTCCATCATTGGATAAGAGTACGAACAAATTTATCATAACAGAAATATCTGCTCACAAGGCTGTATCTTCAGAATCATTTGCTCCAATTTATGCTCATGGATTGGCCTAATCTTGGTGCTTTAGCATAAGTATTAAGAAGAAGAACAAGGGGAAAAAAAGAAGAGTAGTAATGATAGAGAGATTCATAGTCTGCTCTTTCAATTAAATTTTCACTGCAGGAAATTTATATAAAGTTGTTGAAGATACATGTTATCAACAAAAATATGGTCCATTCGCTATGAGGATAACAGCAAAAATCTTCTTCATCATTTCTACATAATTTCATAATTTTGCCATCACTGCTGTCTTCTTCTGTGGATTTTGATTCGAACAACCTTAGTAGACATAACCCTTGACGAACATGCCTTCTTTGGCCTCCTCTGACTCTCCCTCGCCGGTGTACTTGCCGAGTTGAGCAAGAGAGTTGGCCTTAGCCCGGACAAGCAGAGCGTCCTGAGCGTCCTTCACGTTCTCAGGTCTGCCTCCCCACTTCTTCAGGCAAGTGTTTTGAAGGGCTCTCGCATACGAGAATGACACATGCCATGGGTTTGGAGCTTGGTTCATTGCGTTCAAGTTCAAGGTAGCCTCTACTTCTGATTGCCCACCAGACAGAAACTGCCAAAACACAACCAATCCACCATTAGCTGCAAAGTTTTCACCGTAGGCAGGCGCAAGAACTTACGTTGTATGGTTAAGTACCATGATTCCAGGGACAGCTGGTGGGATTCTTTGGCGGAGGAGACTCAGGGTGTATTCAGCAACTTCTTGAGGAGTGGCCCTGTCTTTGCACTCTGCACCTGGAGTGACCATGCTTGGCTTTAGGAGGATACCTTCAAACATCACATTGTTCTGGGCTAGGTAGAAGAAAACCTCAGCCCACACCTTTTTGGCTACTTCGAAGGTCCTGCCGATTCCATGTTCACCGTCAAGCAAGATCTCTGGCTCGACAATTGGAACCAATCCGTTGTCCTGCATGACCAAACACCCAAGGATTATTTAATACCACAAAATGTAGTCCAGACAGTGCGTCAATAAGATTTCATATCATCTTACCTGAGAGATGGCAGCATAGCGAGCCAGTCCCCAGGCTGCTTCCTTCACGGCAAGTTCAGATGGTCCATTGGGAATGCTTACCACAGAACGCCTATAAAAAACAATTGAAAGGATGTCTTAACAAAAAGCAGTTTCTCACGGGCTGTATTCATAACGCAAGGGATATGCTAATGGAAAACTGAAATAATTTTCAGACATGAACTACCTAAATGGATAAAGATTTTACCATTTTGCAAAACGAGCTCCCTGTTGGTAGTATGCAGCAGAACGTGGGGCGAGGCCGTCAAGACCTTGGCACCAGGACTCGTTGTTTGAGCCAGCCAGTGGAACAAGACCCTGTAGCAGTCATATTATCAAGCTCTTAGTAACCGATACTTCTTAGCATTAGATCTACAGAGGGGGTCATGAGAATTACCTTGTCGACCTTTATACCAGGTACTATATTCTGCTCAACAAGAACGTCAACCATCTTCTTGCCATCGGTTGTGGATTGGTAGAGGGTTTCCTCAAAGAGGATGGCGCCTGAGATGTACTGGCCAAGGCCAGGAGCTGACACCAGCAATGTCCTGTATGCCTGGCGGTTAGCCTCAGTGTTCTCTAGCCCGATTGAAGCCAAACGTTTCCCACAGGTAGCGTTGGACTCATCCATGGCCAAAATTCCACGGCCTGGAGAAGCAATAGTTTTCTACAAGAACCCAACAGTTTCATATCAGCAAAAAAATTCCATTGTTTTTCAGGAAATTCCCAGTTCTAGCTGTCAAAAGCTTATCCGACTAGTTAAGTAGCTACTACTTCCTGGTGAGAATCCATGCAGGTTTAGAACTTCAAAAGCAAGTACTTTGCAACGGTGTTCAAACCACCATTATTTCTCTTTTCGTTAATTCATTCTAGTATTAGCATAGACTTTTAACCAAATTGTAGAAGAGGTTAAGAATTATAACACTTACTGCAGTCTTCACAAGCTCATCGGCATATGAGCTAGCACGCACGGTTAGTCCAGAGGGAGCAACCGGGTGGCACCTAATGACAGAAACCGAAGGTTGGCGAGGGGTCTGACCCCTAACCCACTCGGACTTGTCTACCACAGGTGCAGTCTTGAGGAGAGATGCAGAGGCCATTCTTCTGTTTTCAATATGTTTCTCTTATCTCTCCCCCTCAAGCTTTTTCAACACACACAACTTTTTGGCTCTAATGCTCCAATTTATAATTCCTAGTCCTCACCAAGAGATATCTTATTTGCGGCTGCAAGGCATAGGCCAATCATCAACTGACATAAGGGATGCTTGCTTGGCAAGTTGGTATTTGTCATAGGTGTGGCTGATATGAGGTGGGGGAGCTTAAGTGTATACTTGTGTAAATCTTTGTCTTGAAATAAAAGGTTGAATTTTCAGAAATTTGTAAAACCAGAAAACCTTGATCCTTTTGGAGCTGATTGATCTCTTTTTGTTGTTTTTCTTTGCTTTTGGCCTTGCTAGTTGGGGGTGAAGATCACCCAAAAGCCAAGATGCAGACAGCGATTTGACTTTTTGAAGGGCAGGCAACAGTTTAGGAAAAGGGAATTTTTTTTTCCTTTTAAAAAATGTTGAGGCTATGAAGGAATTTATTTCTCTGCTCAAAACCAATTTGATGCATTCATTAGCTTTCATCAGATTCAACTATGAGTATGAAATCAAGTTAAGAATCTCCTGCAAACATTCCAATTTAGAGTCAAAGATGAGCATTAATATATGAGAGGACTAAGGCAAAAGTCCCTTCGCTTTTAAGCGAGTATTTCACATGCATCAAAGTGCCATATGCATTCCTATGGCTTCTGCATATTTCAAAGCAAGAGGTGGCCTGAAGTTAACAGAAGGAATTGGCCACTAGTTCTGCGCCCTAAAGACAAGGTGCAAATATTTCAACAAGGACAGTTCTCAATTGAAAGGGAAAATCAGTGTTCTTCTCACTGGTCTTCTTAAGCTTCAGAAGTTAGCTTATGACCCAGCGATTCTCTTACTTATAACATCACTGGTCCCATGGCCAAAACATCAGGCAATTGTATACCTATGGAAAATCCAAGTAAATAAACAAATAGACAGATACCATAGGTTGCCGAGAAGAAAAAATCTTCTTAAAAGGACATATAGGAACTGTTGTCATAGACAGGCACCAGCGCTACGTAATAAATATCCTCAGAAGAGTGAAGGGAAAAGACCGAGTAATTCTCAACCGCTCAATCCCTGGGCATCTTACAGCTCAGGTGATTCAAATTCAGTATATTAAAGTTCTCATGTGTCCTACCAATCCAACCCCACAAACACATTGTCTTTGTGCATTTTTTGAAAGAGAAGACACAGAGAGTGCTTCCATATTGATTCAGAATCTTTGAAACAAAAATGGGTGAAAAGAACAAAAAGGAAGAAAAAACATGTAAGAAACCACAGTTCCACAAAATCAACAAACTATCCTTATTTTGACCTAGTTTTACATCTTTTACTGGACAACAAACAAATTTATCCACAAATCTTTTCTTTCAAACTATGCTTTGGACCAATATGTTAAGCACAACAACTAGCATCAATGCCAAAACTAGAAATATGACACAGCTCTCATAAGCTAATATAACATGACTAATGCGCCACTACCAAGAAAATCTTGTGTTATCCACTGCATCAAAATTGGGGTCTATAATGAGAGAAACCTGGTGCTTTACCACTACTTAAGATAAGTAGATGAGACCCAGAGTAGCACATAGGTTATCAATGATGTCAGCACTTCAAAACTCCTTGGTCCCTTAAGTATAGGTATTGGTGGAATCACAGATACCATCAAGAAGGTCCCCACCAACCAGGAGAATATAAATGTTCCAGCCCTGCAGGGCAGCAATAAATGATTATTAATACCTGTTAATGTTGTAACATTTCAGGGCTCAATAGCAAAGAATTTTCAGGAACGCATTTAGAAGAGGGAAGAAGACATGAAATGAAGTAGTTCACTATATATTCATCATAGTTGGAAGGATCTGGCTAGGAACCTTCATCTGTTTGACAAGTATGAAGCAGTGCTATATCATGGCTAATAGAAAATCAGGAATTATATTGAAGATTAAAGAGAAAGAAAGGAAGAAAGGAGAAAGGCCTTAGCAAGAAATATCAAGGACATCATATCACATTTTAAGGTAATACCACAAATGTCACCACTTACCCATAAAGTAGAGCTCGAATTTTGCTCTTCAAACGATCATGTATGAAAAAGAAGGTAGCTATCAGTGATATGGCTACTTGGAGGGTTGGGCCTTCTTCAGTGGGAAAGAGAACAGTGAGAACTCCAAGCACTAAAAATGCTATGGATGTTTTTACAATGAACTTAGTGGCCGGAGTTCGAAACCTGCTTGTGACAGCCTGTACAACCCGGGATTGTTTAACTTCCCTGACCTTTTTCTTGATGTCAATTTTTGGGTTCTTCCTTTCGTAGAACTTCTGCATAATTATTTTGTCATGTGCTGCTTCAATTGCATCCACGCTTGGTTTGTGCCCCCCGTATTTACTAATAAGGAAGTTCCGTGCAGCTTGAATTTCGTCTTCAGAAGCCTCCCTGCTTATTCCTAGTCGTTTGTATGGGTCCCTAATATTAATTCTAGGAAAGATGGCCGATCCTGCAAAGGTAGTAAAGAAGAAATTCCATAGGGTAATATTTATTAACAACTCATAAAAATCTTTAATAAAATAGAACAATCAGGACAAAAACACAATTCAGTGAAACAAGTTCTCCAAAAAGCAAACAGGAAGCATTAGGCTCCTGGTAAATGCACATACCAGATTATAGCCCAAGCTCATTAAAAAACCAACAATGTCAGGGTTGAACTAGGTCCATGCTCAATGAACAAAAGCATGCTAAAGTTGAGCTTATATTATTTCCAAATCATAAAAAATTATTGAATCTTGAGATTAAATCAGCTCTCACTAACTTATTAAATGATATATGCTTATTCAATGATCATCAATCCAAACAAACAACTAAACAAACATCAATGCAATACAGATCTTAGTTTACACTTTACATCATAAGCAATGTCTCTTCAGGGCAGAAATAATTAAAGCCAGAAGGTTTTTGAAATTTGTTTTACTTCCACAGAAAGAAACGATCCTTAGCATAGCATGTCTACTTATTCAGAGCTAACCAAGACAATAATCCGAAAAGAAAGAAAGTCCATTAACCCAAGCAACAAATGTTACCAGCTGATTCACTTGCCATATCACCATAGGAAGCATCCATCGCACACTTGATCAAGTGAGTTTTCTGTGTTTTCCACCTTTTCATAGAAACAATCCAACCACTTCTGCACCGCAACAGGAAAAAACGATGACATCATACAACTAAACTCAAAGTTTATAGGTCATGTTATTCGAGCACTACCTTTCAAGATGGAGTATGCCAAACTTTTCCTTAGGCTTGCCAGCACTTGGAATAGCTGAAACTTGCCCGCATACCAATCCTCGACTGCGGTCAGGTAGCCTAAGGCAACATCTTGAGGGACTGCCGGTCAGTCCAGAGACACTCATTTTTATAATACCTTAATTGGTATTGTCCACGAAAATACTGTGAAAGGTCAAAGATTAACAGCTGGAACAAACTAAATTAAACCGGCTACATTAGATGGAAACTAGAACTGAATAAAGGATCAAAAAAAGTTATCATGCCTACCTCAGATTAAACAACTATGTAGGAGAAACATACATCAAGAGCTAAGATGGTCCATCCACAGTGCATATAGCAGAGAAATTTAAAAGCACAATCCCGTTATAAAATTCCTCAATATTCATAATTCAACTTATGTTAGGGAATTCAAGAATGGGAACACTAACCACCAGTTTTTCCTATTAGCAACAAACATTCTCAGTCAAAGCAAACAGCAAACTCCAATACCTTGAGTCTAAAATGAATTCATTCCTTCATCCTCCATGACAACGTCTAAAATGAATATTCCATTTCCTTTGCTTATAACCCAATTAATAAAGCAGCTTGAAAGCCCTTAAGAACATACAATCACCACGCAATCATAAAGACAACCCATTATCCACTCAACAGCGCTTCAAGCTAAAATCCCAAGAAAGGCTGCGACTTTATCTTCACCAAATAATCAAGGCTATAAAGCAATTACCTTTGCCCACAAAAATATTGAGAAATTTTAGGCCGAAGAAATGTAGGAACAATTCAACCTATAGTTTTCGAAGATTGTTTAGCGTTACCCAGGAAGCATTTTAAACCGAAATGAAGCATCAAAATTTTAGTGAAAAGTAATGCGCTTTGGGAAAAAATGTTGAGAAATAGACATACCTTTGTGGAGATGACTGAAAATACTAAGTTGGGTCGAGCTGGAAAGTGTTGCGACGGATAGGGAAGCAGAGTGTGGGAAGCTTGGAGAAACCATGCTTGCCAGGCTTGAAACTAAACAAAATGTCAAAATTTTAGTACACGGTAACAATCCGTTGTAGTCTAGTTGGTTAGGATACTCGGCTCTCACCCTAGAGACCCGGGTTCAAGTCCCGGCAACGGAATGCATTTTGCATTTATTTATATATATATATATATATATATATATATATATAATTTCCACAAAAAAGCTTCGGCATGATGGTGAATTGGAGCTTAAAAATAAGTCTTTTGGGAAGAAAACATGCATTGCAAAAATGTTCATTTTTCTGGGTTGCTTCAATCCATGCTTATGTCATTAGAATTATTTAAAAGTACGATTTTTTTTTTATTTTTTTTGGCAAATTCATATTTATCCAAACCATTAGCTGGAATTGGAGCTTGCTAAGCTACCGATCAAGCAATGTGCCGGTGATGGGAAGGAGACCTTGTGGCATGATGATTGGCATCCTAATGAATCTTCGCCATGGCAGAAGAGTTGGAAAAGATGCAAAGGTTGCTACTGTGGTAAAACAAAGGTGATTCAAAATGGCAACCAGGAGAAAATCAAATGAATTTGTACATATCCAATTCGAAACTTGCCTTGGTTTCCAAGGCACCATGATCTGAACTGGACAGTTCAAAGCTTCTAACACATGACAAAACTGAAATTTAATCTCTGTGTAGTTGTTTGCATTAGCATATATAATCAAGAAACCAAAGAACGAGAACAGAAAATTTTAGTAAAAAATATACATATATTCCGTTGCCGGGACTTGAACCCGGGTCTTTCGGGTGAGAGCCGAATATCCTGACCAACTAGACTACAACGGAGTGCTGGGTATAGGAGCCAATATTTTTTACATGGTTGAAATCAATTTGACATATGAACGGCAAGGATTATTTAGATTGAAGCCCAGCAAGAAAATTTACTGGGATGATAATGGTGGTAACAACAGGGTAGCATCTCCATCATGAAGATGATACATCAAGACAATCCTTTTGTCATCTTCTCCCACGCTTCTGCCCAAAACCATATCGTTTGCTTTGTTCTTTCTTTTAGCTCATTCGCAAGCTAGCTCACACTAGAAATTCCAAGAGAAATTAATTTTAAAAAAAATGGTCCACCTCATTATGTTGTCCACTTTCCTGCACGATTTCCACTCCAAATCCGAAGGTCAAAGTGCAATGAGAAGCCCAAGAGATTCCCAGTTACACAACAAAACTGAACAGTGAATCACAGTAAAGAGATATGAGAGTAAAATGCTATAGTTCGTTCAGGATTGAGACCCTGGTTGATTAATGTTGGATTACTGCTGTTAAAAAGGGATGATATTCGGAAGAAAAGAAGGGAATTTGAAGGGCTGAAGGGTCCATCATCTTTTGTTACTGTCAGTAGTGTCATCTCTGTTGGTGGATTTCTGCAGTATGTAAGCCGAAGCTGACAGTCAAGGGAAAAGTGAAAATTGAATATGATCAGCACATTCACGGAATACCTTTGACAAGAACAGACAAGAAGAAACCCCATGGACTGAAAGTCACTGCTTGGTCTAAGGGGCCTAGTAGGATGAGCCAACATAGATACAGCCACCCCGTGCCACATAGTCCATTTACAATTTCATCATCCTCTCTTTGGGTTTTGAACCTCCATTTTTACAAAGTAATTAAACCTTTTCACTGACTATAGAACCCACACTGAATATCAGCCAACTTGGGAAAACTCTAAACACATATATTCTCCAAGAAAATCCTGAAGCTTTTATCTATTGCTGGCTGGCACATCCCTGAAGAAAGTTGGCTCTTCTCTCATTCCCAATTCTTCTGGGTTAAACCGCAATTCTTTTTAACTAGCAAGATGATAATGAAGCTGTTCTTGTTTATCTTACTATTGGAAGCTGCAAGTTTTCGGGTTACCTCAAACAGGCCTGGTCATGAATTTGTGTTGATTGAAAAAGAATATGTAAACTGGGTTAGACAGATGTCTTCTTTCAAGCACTCTCTCTTCGGAAGAGCAAAGAACAAACTAAAGCCCTGCTTATCCATAAGAGTGAACAAAAAACCAAGACTAGGGCAGTTTCCTACGGTGCAAAAGGCTATTAGTTCACTTCCAGTAGTTAATCACTGCCGGGTTGTAATCTACATTGGAGCAGGAACTTACAGGTAAATATAAAGTTTCTTTTAGCTTTATTTTTTTACAAGAATTGGACATTTTGTTTCTGATTCGGAATTCGGATGGCAAAATGCAGAGAGAAGGTTCAAATTCCTGCAACCATGGCTTACATCACTTTGGAAGGTGCTGGTGCAGGCAAAACCGTCATTGAGTGGGATGACACAGCAGATAGGATGGGGCAGAGTGGCCGTCCGTTGGGCACCTATGGTTCTGCAACATTCGCCATTAATTCTCCTTACTTTATCGCAAAGAACATCACCTTCAAGGTCAGCCAGAATCTTTAGATTACAATCTCAACAACTCCCAATTTGAGTAGTAGTTTCGTCCTATGATTTCAACATCCTTTTACATGCACGCTCATGTTATTCATCAATGTTGCCTTAGCATTTTCAAAAGATCAAATGCAATTGTTAATTTTATTTAATAGAGCTTGAATATCCTCTGACAGAACAAAGCACCATCACCGCCATCGGGAGCTCTAGGGAAGCAAGCGGTGGCGCTGCGGATTTCAGCAGATACGGCAGCTTTCATCGGTTGCAAGTTTATCGGATCGCAGGACACTCTCTACGACCATATCGGCAGACACTACTTCAAGGACTGCTACATTGAAGGTTCTGTAGATTTTATATTTGGAAATGGCCTTTCCCTCTACAGGGACTGCCATTTGCATGCCGTAACCAACAGCTACGGAGCCCTGACTGCCCAGAAGAGGGAGAGCTTGCTCGAGGAAACGGGCTTCTCCTTTGTCAACTGCAAGGTCACTGGGTCAGGTGCCCTCTTCCTGGGGCGAGCCTGGGGAACTTTTTCAAGGGTGGTCTTTGTTTATACTTACATGGACAAGATCATCACCCCGACAGGATGGTATGACTGGGGAGACAAAAATAGAGAAATGTATGTATGATCTCTCTTTCCCATTTTACCTGTTCCAAATTTATGAGCCATGACAAGCTAAAACTCATCTATGTTCGAAAAACATGTTCGCCCTGGCAGGACTGTGTTTTATGGGCAGTATAAGTGTTCAGGACCTGGAGCTGATTTTGGTGGGCGAGTGTCATGGGCCAGAGAACTTACTCAACAAGAGGCAAAACCATTTATTTCAGTTGATTTCATTGATGGCCATAGTTGGCTTCCTGTGTCATGAAGATATATCTTCATTCTTCAACTGCAGCATATCAATCAAATCGTAAAACTATGTTCCTTTCTGTTCAATGCAGTTGCTAAGTGCTGGAACCTTCGTTCTGAATACAAAATTTATATTTAATGCATTGCCAGTATATACTTAAAAAAATTTTATTCAAGCTTGCTTTTGCTGTGAATTTTCCCGAACTCTTATGAACCCAAACTTATTGGTTTCGGATATTCACATACATACAAATGCAAGACTAGTCCAGATGGCTGACACAAAAGGCAATTTGAGCAAAAGTGAAACAAACAATGTGTTATCCTCTTAAAAGGAATAATAATTTACATAAGTTACACGGTCAATGTATTCTACAGCATAAATCAACTATACAAATCAACACATCACTGTACAATTATCATTGCTTCCCCATGTCGTGTACAAACAATACTTGTGGTTCCACAACTGTACACATCCACCAGCTTGGATGCAGAGGAAGAACCTATCAGACCAGACATGGTCATCAGGACTGGAAAAGTGTCACCGTTGCAATATAGCCATTCTTCATAACCTGCTAACAGCAATAATCTTCATTAGAAATCCTCTCACTGTCATCACCTAAACTAAAAATTAGCAAAACAGTGTTGCATCAAATACTAAAAAGCCAAGGGAGCAAGAAATTTTAACAAATTTTCACCTCAAATGCAACATTCTGATAGCCATACACCAAAGTAGAGCCAAAAGGATTGCTTGTGGAACCTTGTGTTTGTATAGCTGCTCGGCCACAGTCCCCAAGGATTTCCTGCAGTAAAATATCATTCTTTGTGACAACCATTATCTAATTGCATATATTTGCACCACTTTCCATATAAATAGGATAAGATGGCCTATAAAGTGCTCAAGAAAATGAACAACATTGAAGGTTAGTGAGAAGTAAAATGAAGATTATTGGCATTTATTCAACTCTAAGCAGTTACCTTCACCTGCTCCCATTTGGTGCTTGGAGTAATTCTGTTTTTGTAGTTATTCACATCCGGGAAGGACCCCCCAACTGCAGCAAGGAAACAAAAACATAAGATCAATTACCCTCACCAATAAGGCAATAACTATAATATAAACAGCTGAAAGAAGGGCTAATTGTCAGAACCTAGGATAACAAAATTGCACTTTATATATGAATTAAAATCTGCATGACCAGGATAGTTCGTGTGTAAAACAAACTTCTTGATTTTATGAGTCTGCAAAACCAAAAAAGCGTTCTGAGAAATTCTGACCACCAAAATCAATTCCAGGAGTACAATGATTATAGATAAAATAAAGAAATAATAGCCAGAAAGACAAATCTAATGCCTTCTTAACCAATAGACAACTGAAACAAATACTAACAAAAGTGTATGTACCATGTAAAGAAGGTTCCTTCACTTTTTTATTTATGGATGTTAATGGGGTATTTATTCTGAATACCTGGCCATCAAATAAGATATCCAATCCACGAGTAAAATAATTGTAGAAATAATCACCACATAGAGTTGTCCGAGGACGAGGATCAGAAGCAGAGTGAATAACCATTTGGTCAACCTGCAGACAAAATCAATTTTTCCCAGAAGGGAAATATGCCAACAGTTCAAGCTTAAAAAGCTGCTATAATTCTGCTCAATCAAGTTCAATTCAACAACATCAATTAGATATAAATTCATAAAAAGTTCAGGGCAAAAAAAAAAACCAACTTCCTGCATTCAGTTGTCTTAATTCTTAATTTTGTCCTTGCTAAACAAAAACCCTTCAACCCCACAACTGAATGCAAAGAAGAAAACAAAATATCATGCTCAATTACTTCATGTAATGTCCAATACAACAACTCTCCTTAGGTGAAGTAATGTGTGTGACCAGTATAAAAACCCGTATTCCATTTCAAAAGGTTCATGCATCATTGCTACCTGCTTTTGATGGATTCCACAAGGGCGCCCTAATTCAGTCCAGACATCCTGCACGATAAGGAATAGCATAAGATTAGCACTACCCCACGAGACTAGGGGAGAGGGGGAAAAAGAATAAATGTAAATCTCATTAAATCAATTGGAGATTTACTTGTGGTGATGCACCGAAAGGAATATGCTGGCCTCCAACAGTGAAAAACAATTCTTCTGCAAGCTGGAAACATGGGCATGGCAATCAGTTAGATTCAAAATATTAGTTTCTAGGATTAAGAGACCATTGGTACTCAAAAAACCATCAACAAACAAATAGGCAAATCAAAATACCGAGCCCAAAAGACCTCACTCCTTTCCTAAAAAACCACTTATTTTCAAGAGACATTATCCAAAAGTTGACGCCAAAGGATCAAAGGTAAAAAGGTAGTCAGCTGCTAAAATAAGATGACCAACTGATTCATATTAACAACAGGACTGAAAAAAATAGAAGTCAAACCTTGGCTTGCACCTCTTCCATGTACAGGCTGCCAGCAGGTAATGGAGGAGCAGAAGCCTTATCCATTAAGGAGCCAACACCAACTTTTTTGCCTTCTGAAGTATCATATATGGATACACGGCAGGTAACTGGAGTGGTGCCATCTGGGAACTCCAAAGGCAATTCCGCTGTCAAGGAAAAGAGTGAGTATAAACTTATTAGGAGTCGAAGAATAGGCATGACAAGGAATCATGTGTTGAGAAAAGAATAAAAACCTTCTCCATCATGGCAGCAATCTGTATACTGACTTGGGATTGGAAAAGCAAATGACAGACCCTGCAAAATAACAAGATAAAACACAGCACAATTGGAGACAAAAACTTTAAAAAACCAAAACAAAGCACCCTAGTACTGAAGTAACCAAGGTACATACCGGATAGAATAAGGTATAAACACCTCTATCCTTGTCATATATTCCAGGATAGGTCGGACCAAAAAGTGCATAGACAGCTACAAAAGTAGCAAGAGTAGATGGTCCCCTGTATGCAAAAACCAGGTTCACAACCGAAACATGTAATTATGAAATATTTGAAATTGAACTTAGGACTTAACTTACCCAATCAAAGAAGTGGCATAGCGCATTTGAAGACGTTTGATGTCGAAAATTTCAATAAGGCGTAATCTCTAATACAGAATTCAAAACAAATTCAATGTATTATAAAGAAATCAAGTGATAGAAAAGATAACAAGGAAGAGAAAGGAAAAAGAAAAATGTGCACCGAAAATAACACCTGGGACCAAGGGTCAAAACGAAGATGAAAACCATGATCCGGAAAGCTTATGACAATATCCTGTTTAAGAGGCTCCTGCAGAAAATAAACATAATGAAAAAGGTAGGCATGAATATTAAACTTGTCCTGACTGTAATTACTCAGCATACACCAAACTAACTTTAACAGCCAAATCAAAGAAATAATTACAATTGTGAGCAACTGCATAAATATTATGTAAACCTGAATTCCACATTAAAGAGTTTCACCTTGTACCGAGTAGTTAAACCAAACTACTGAAACACGACACGACACGAAACAGTATATTTAAGGGTTCAGTCCAAACCTCATCATATAACTTCACATGAACGACATCGTAAATCTTAGGCTGTTGTTCTATTTGAGCAAATGCTTCACATATCGGCATCCCTGACAATAAACAGTGCAAAAAGAAAAAAAATGAAAATTAATGAAACTAATTTGCTGTATAGAAAACATAACCTAATCCTTTGATTCAAACAAACCGCGATTGATTCGACCAATCGAAATTCGCGTGGAATTACATAATTTCTAATTCAGTTCGCCGATAAAAGTAAAAAGGAGTAAACTAATATTAGAATATATAATTGAGAGGAAACGAACCGAGAGTGAAAGGTCCGATGCCGAGACCGGGCCGGAGATCGAGAACGATGGCGCCCATGGCGGTGCCTTCGCAACGTCGTCTAGGTCTCTGCAACATTTGTTCTCGGATTTTTTTTTCTTTTCTTTTGCCTTTCGTGCTTCCTTCTTCCTTTTTCTTTTCCTCTCGGGAGTGTTTTGGATTGGGTTTGGGGTCAGCCACCGTTATTTCCGCTAAGAAAACACCGAAGCGTTGATTGCTTTATATATAAAGCTTGTCCTTTTAAAATGCCGAATCGGCTTAGGCTCGAGATTGACTCCCGGCTCACGAAATGTTGACATCGTGGGCCGTTGGACCCACGAGCCACCCACCTGATGCAAACCCACGTCCCCCAGGTGGCATTATTTTTTCTGTGGCTTTGGTTTTATTTTAGAAAATTATATATTATATATATAGCCATGATTTTTTTTCCTCCGTCATTATATAAGTAAAATTTTAATTATGCTTTTGAGTATTTCACTCTTTTTTTAATGTTTTTATGCATATAAACAAATAATTAAGGTTTTTTTTTAATTTTATAATAAATATTTAAAAATTTCCACTTTAATTTTTTTATATAACATCTAATGTAGATATAATCATATGGTAATTTAATATGATACGTAGTTACATTATATATCACAAATAGACGTTAGGTGGTATTACGTCTGGTAGTTATTAATTTTCATTAAAGTCAATGGATTGTGTACTGCAAATTAAAAGATAAAAATGTGTTTTTATGTTTTTGTCCCATGTGACATATGATTTGATAACTGATATGATCACATAATAATTAAAAATGACATGTGATTATATTGCACATCGCAAACAAAAATGGTTAGTTGGTATTAAGTTTCAAGATTATTAATTTTTAGTTAAAGAATTTGCGTGAATGCAAACCAAATAATTAAAAATTTGTTTATATATTTTTATCCACATGATATATGATGTGATAATTGACATAACCACGTGATAATTGAAAATAATATATAACCACATTTTATATCTAAAATAAAAAAAATCAAAAAGTATCGAATTTGTCAATTATTAGCTTTTCGTTAGAACTAAGAGCTCGTGCGAATACAAATTAAATGATAAAAATTAATTTATATATTTTTATTTATGTAACATATGATGTGATAGTCAATGTGATTAAATACTAATTGAAAATAATGCATAATCATATTGCATATCACGAATAAAAGAAATGTCAATTGATATTGAGTCTCACAATTAGTAATTTTTTGTTAAAATTCAAAGTTTGCATAAATGCCAATAAAATAATATAAATTTATATACAATTAGAGACTTTTTTCTTATTTAAATAATATATTCAAAAATAATAATTACCATAACGAAAAGCATTTTCGGTCCGACATTTGCATTAAATTCCAAAACAAAAAAGCGACCCCATTTACCTTGTCATTTTCTTGATGCAAAAGCTATGTGATAAGTTCACATTGTTTTCCTAATCAAATACTGAAACCTTGTCAAGATCTGCACATTTCCCTTCCCTAATTTATTATTTCTCATTCAAGCGCCGTCCACGCACGTGTGGAAAAAGTAAATTATGATGATTTTCTTATTTTCAATTCATGTGATTTTTTTTTTATTTTTAAAGTTTTTGACTTAATAAAAAGTAATCTAAACTTACTCGTGATATTTAGGGTTGAGCACTAATTATTAATTAAGATCGATTGAATTCAATTAATTCCATTTATTCTCGATTTTGATATTAATTGAATAAGTTAAACGGCTTTATTCAATTATTTCATTGATTTTCTATATTCACAATTTACAATAGAACCAATTAAAAAATCAATTATTAATAAAAAATAAATTCCTCTAAAATTAAATGGATCAGCTTAGGTAGAAATTAAAAGGCATTAATTTCTTTTATATATATATATCCCTGTTCGAGTAAGTCGACATTGTTTGCAAGGCATTTATCAGTACCTAACAAAAGAGCGGCGTCCATTGACTAATTTGCTTCTAGTAAAAGATGCTTTTCTTTTGTTATTTTTTTAATTATTAAATAAAAAAAATATGTCCACTTCATATAATACATTGAATTTCATTAATAAAAAAGGGTCGAGGTTAAATGTACCGGATCAAAAAGTAAAGGTTTCCATCAAATACAAATGAATATGCTGTCAATTCTATCTTAAAACCCAAACAAAAGAAAAAAAACATGGAATTTGCCTTACCAAATTTACAACATAATAATCATTACAAGTTCGACTAATTCATCTAAATCTTTTTTATTTTTTAACTTTAATTTAGATAAAATTAAAACATATTATTTCAATTTAAAAGAAATAAAAATAGAAACTCATGATTGTGCAAGAAATAATTGATGTTTTTTCAACATTTCAATTACGGTTACGAGGGCATGATGTATATAAAAACTAGTATAATTGAAAAATTATGATTTTGTTGTAGAAAATGGATGTAAAGATTATATGTAATCATATTATTTAAAAAATTTATTTTTTTAAAGAGAAAATTATGAAGAATAACTTTTCTTGATAAGGACATTTCAAAAATAATTATCAAAATAAATTTAACTATTTTTAGTTATATTTAGCCATGATTTGATAAAAACACCATTGAAACTATTTTAAATAAATTAAATTACATCACAAATTCTCCCAATATGTGCTTCCGATTTCCCTCTCTCAACATCTTACTCTCTTTAGTTTTATCGATTTCTCTCTTCAACATTCGTCTATTATGCTCTCGATTTCTCTCTCTCACGTTTCCAGATTTATCTTTTCAGTACTTTGAAGATACAAACGATGGTTTTGATGTGCTTGAGTGAATAGCTATTTGAAAATTTTAATTTTTAGGTATTTTAGATAAAATTATACAGTATAAATTATCACAAATGTTTGAAATAGTTTTTAATTGGATCAATTCGGGATCTAGACACCAATAAACTCAAAATTTTAAAATTTATAAACCTAGATTTTCAATAATTTTTTTTTCAATTTTTAGTCAAAATAGGTATTTTAGATAAGAAAATTTGTGTTTTAATTTATAAAAACACATTAAAAACACTTTAATCGATGTTAAATTGTCAAATAAATAAGCAAAAATAAAAAGAGTTGAGAAGATTTGAAGTTTGGGTTTGTAAGTAACAATAACAGTTTAGACATTAAAGTGTAACAAAATGTTTTTGAATATGGCGTGTAACAATAATATTTTTTCAACATGGGGTATAGTAATAGTATTTTTTTTTCAACATGGCATGTAACAACATTTTTTAACCATAGCGTGTAGCATAAACAACAACATTTTTTTTACATAGCATGTAACAACCTAATCATGACGTGTCAAGTATTTTTGTACATGTCATGTAACAACTTAACCATGACGTGTCACGTATTTTTGTACATGTCATGTAACAACTTAACTATGACGTGTAACAACCTAACCATGATGTGTCACATGTTTTTGTACATGGCGTGTAACAGTTTAACCATAGCATGTAACAACTTAACCATGGCGTGTCACATGTTTTTGTACATGACGTGTAACAACCTAACCATGACGTGTTACATGTTTTTGTACATGGCGTGTAACAACCTAACTATGGTGTGTAACATGTTTTTGTATATGGTGTATAACATTATAACGTGAAATTTCATTAAGAGTAATTTTGTTTAACTTGATTAAAAATAGTTAAAATTATAAATGAGGTTATTTTAAAAACACTTTACTTTTAAGGGTTATTTTTTAAAATGCCCCTTTTTTAAATGTGAGAAAATTTAAGTTCAATATCAATAATTTATTCGTGATTATGATTTTTTACTAATGTTTTCATGTTTTTTGCTTTTAAATTGTCTCTGTAATTAATTGTTACTATAATGTCATACATGATAGGGATTAAATTCAACCTTTACAATTATGTAACACATGCTCCTTGTTACGAAAAAAAAAATTGAACAATCCAATTTCATAACATTATATATGTATACATCAAACAATATTATCAAAATTTATATAAAAAAAATATAACAAAATTACATTATTAAAAAAATCATATTTCTTTCGAGAAATATGAGAAAACTCAACTTTAACACTAACAATTTAAACAAAATTACGTTTATTAACTGATAATATGATGTAAGATATTTTTTTTTCCTTACGTAAGAAAAGATTTAAATTTGATTATTCAAGTGACAAAATACATTCACTTATCACATACCATGTTTGTAGAAAGTGTCAGATGCCATACCAAATAGGGACCTAAATCCTTATCAACAAAGTACAAATCGAGGTGTTGTTACCTTATATAAAAGAAGAAATTCAGGTAAATTTGAACAGGAAAAGGGCTGTCCAAACAGCAAAGAGATTTTTCAGACAAGGGAGGGGGAAGGGCTAGAAGAGGAAGAAGGGATCATGTTTTTAGCATTTTGAAACAAAATTTTTCCAAGAGTGTGGGCCCACGTTGTTTTTTGCCACTCCTTTTACTTGGTACTGACTGCCCACGAACCACGTGGTGCTTAAGGGCAGCGAAGATTAGAGAATCAAACGCTCAAAACTCTGTCCCAAAGCCCCAGGCCGACCCGAAGAGCCGCGTTTGACGCCTTCCTTCCTTTGATGCGTCCCCTTTAACAAGGAAAAAGGAAATTGACGAGTAAAAGTAAATACGTTGAGCTACCGATCAAAGGACCGAGTGTGCCCCCTTGGGTCCTGTCTTCCCCCAATATATGAGAAATTATTTTTTTATTTTTGTGAAAAGGTTTTTAAGTTATTAAACCATTTCTGGTTTTTTTTTTTCGTGTTTCTCCCCCAAACAATGCCTTGTCACATCCCTTCCCAGTCCGTTTCCATGTGCCCACTACTCACAGCTCCACCACTCTCTAATCCCCAATTCCATCGCTAGGGTTTTCACTTTTTCTTTTTTAATTTAGTTTTTTTTTGTGGGTTTGGATTCGACGTCCAAGAAAATAAACAGAAAAAAAAGAAGAGCGAAAAAATCTATACGCGGGGAGGTGTTTTTTTTTTGTGTGTAGAATTTATGAATTGAATTGTTTGGTGTTGGAATGGAAAATTGTCAACAAGTGCAATCCAGCACGGCTCTGTATAAGCCGTGTTTGCAGGACAACGGCGGCGGTGATGTTGTTGGTAATAACAGTGATAGTTTGAATCGTGATAGTTTACAAGGAGCGGAGTTCATGAGCGTCGATCAATGCCAGAAGGTTCCGGAGATGGACGATTCGCAGCTTGTTGGAAACGCCGACGTGGCGGTTAGAGGAGATGCTGGTGCTGCGACGGAGACGGGGGCGGGGAGTGGAGTCCAAGTTGTTGAGCAGAGCGCCGGGAAGCGGAGGCGGGGAAGGCCGCCGAGGAATCAGGTGAGAACCACGTTGCCATCGGCGCCACCACCGCCGCCTCCTCAAAAGAAGAAGAATGATGAAGAAGATGTTTGTTTTATATGCTTCGATGGCGGGAGTCTCGTGCTCTGTGATCGCCGGTTAGTTTGGGAGTTTGTTTTTTCTTTTCTGTTTGGTTGATCAGAAAATGTAGGATTATGAAATGAAGTTTTTGTTAGTTGGCCTTTATTAAGATGAAAATTAGAGCTATTGTTTGATTGAACTTCGTGTTTTGCTGAAAATTTATTAAACTTTTGCTCAATGAGCTTATCTGGGCTTTATATTTAGGCAAATTTGAACTGGAGTTAATTTCAGCTAAGGGGGAAGTTCTATGGCTGAGCTGCTGATCTCTTGTTTATATTATGATACTACTAATTCTTAAATTGCAAATCAAGTCTTCTTTTTTTGGCAACAGAATGTCGGTTTAGTTTTAATTATTTTTTGTTTAGTTTGGCTTTTATATTCTTTTTCTGCATTTGTGTGATTCATGCGGTTAATTGTATGCGATTTCACTTATCAGGGGCTGTCCTAAGGCATACCATCCAGCCTGTATCAAACGGGATGAGGCATTTTTTAAATCGAAGGCGAAATGGAACTGCGGTATGTTGCATTTTAACTACATCTTATTAATATTTGTCACTTTCAATTCAGTTTAATTAATATAAGTGCTGGGAAGTGTTAAAGCTTGTGCTAGTGTTGTCAAGATTCATGCCTCTTTTCTTGCTTCGGAGTTAATTAACTGTTGATCTCTCATACTGTTAACACGTGCATGCCAAATGGTAGCTTTCCTTGTTTGCCATAGGTTTGGATCCTTTGTTCTTGAGTAGTTATTGGATTACTGTTTTTTTTAATCTCAAAAATGATATCATGCCATTAGCACGTGCCTATTGAATGGTGGCTTTCCACGTGTTTCATTCAGTTGAGTTCTTGCATTGGATCTCAATTGTAATATCATTTTGTCTCCACGTGCATATTGAATGGTGGTTTCCATGTCTGTTCATTGACTTGGACTCTTGCATCATTATTATGTTAACATTTTTATCGCAATTATAATTAAGTTTCAATGATTATGTTGTTTGTTTCATTAATTTCTGGTGGTCTATTTGTTGTACATTTCAGGGTGGCATATATGTAGCACTTGTCAGAAGGCTTCATATTATATGTGCTATACTTGTACATATTCCTTGTGCAAGAATTGCACTAAAGATGCTGATTACGTGAATGTGAGAGGGACTAAAGGATTTTGTGGAACGTGCTTGAGAACTGTAATGCTGATTGAAAACAGCGCATTAGGAAATAACGAAATGGTATGATTAACTTTGCCTTATACAATGGATTTCTTTTTCAATGTCTTATAGCTTTTTTCCATTATGTGTGCTTCCTTATTTGGTAATTATTGTATTTAGTACATTTAGATTATTGAGGAGTAGAGAGCTTTTGTCTACCTTAAAGCCTTTTAATTTATACTGTGCAGGTTGAAGTGGATTTTGATGATAGAACTAGTTGGGAGTATCTCTTCAAGGTGTACTGGATTGTATTGAAAGAGAAGCTTTCTTTAAGTTTAGATGAGCTTACTAAAGCTAAAAATCCCTGGAAAGAAACTGCTATCATGGGTATTAAGGGAGAGTCATCAGGTGAAATACTTAATAACGGGAGTAACACTAAAGGTGCTAACATGGACAAGTCTTGTGGAGACCTAGGAGCTAGTAATTCCAAGAGACGGAAAATGATGAAGCAACAGAAGTTTTTGAGCAAAGCTGAATCTCTAGGAGCAGAAAAACCATGTGTTATGAAAGGGATGCCTTTGCCCGTAGGCACAAATTGGGCAACAAAGGAGCTTCTTGAATTTGTGGCACACATGAGAAATGGTGATACATCCGTGCTATCTCAATTTGATGTTGAGGCACTTTTGCGTGAGTACATAACGAGAAGCAATCTTCGTGATCCTCGCCAGAAATCTCACATTGTCTGTGATTCAAGGCTTATAAAATTGTTTGGAAAAGAAAGGGTGGGCCACTTTGAAATGTTAAAGCTTCTTGAATCACACTTTCTCATCCAAGACCATTCAAGGGCCATTGATACCATTAGAGGCGGAGGTACCAAAGCTGTTGCAACTCAATTGGCTGTTAATGGGAACAATGATAGTCAACCAATAATTGCCAATGATAAGAGACGTAAAACACGTAAAAAGGTTGACGAGAGAGGACAAAAGGTGAATCCAGATGATTTTGCTGCTATTGATGTTCATAATATGAACTTGATCTACTTGAAGCGTAATTTGATGGAGAACTTAGTTAACGATGCTGACAAATTTAATGAAAAGGTTGTTGGTTCCTTTGTAAGGATAAGAATTCCTGGAAGTGATCGGAAGCAAGATATGTATAGACTTGTCCAAGTAGTAGGTATTAACTAATATAACGAATGCTCCTAGAATTCGTATTAATTTGTTTATTGTGGACATTCTCTGATAATGTTTTTTGTTTGCAGGTACCAACAAGGTGGCTGAACCATATAAAATTGGCGAAAGGACAATTGATGTCATGCTCGAGATACTAAATTTAGACAAGAAAGAGGTTGTCTCTATTGATGGAATTTCAGATCAGGAATTTTCTGAGGTGCCTAAATATACTTCCTCAATTCATGTTTTTGTTTTTTCTTTTACTTTTATTTTGTGTTAATTCTTGCTTGATTTGCATTTATCTAAAGGATCCTATGCTGTTTGTAAAACTGAAAATTTCCATGTTTAGTCCTGCATTTATTGACAAGAATTCCATGTAATGAAGTCCAGTGCATTAACTTCACGATTTTGTCACTGAATTAAAACAATATGGGATTAAGAGTTAGGTTTTGTAGGTTGGAATTTTTGTTACAAGACACTGCAAGGTGGGTAGATTATCTAGGGTGGATCGTACTAAAGGGTAACTGAGGTGTGAGAAGGTGGGCTCTAGCTAAGATTCTGCTCGTGAGCATAATGGTATAAGCCTGCCTGGCTGTGAGACCCACTGGTCGAACAGACATATAAGTGGGGCATAGTGATGTGGGAGTCCCGTGTGGAAGGGCTCTTGCTCAATGGATCAAAGGTATGCCAGAGATAACAGGCTGGTGATTCCCAAGAGCTCTTTTGTTGGAGTCGTTTGGCACCTTGATGTCAACTCATTGGGTTATATTTATAATTAAACTAGGGGAAAAGTGGCTTGATTAGCCAAAAAGAAAGATTTAAAAGACTTAAGGTTTTAATGGCAATTTTGAGGATAATTAATGGCTTGTGTGGATTGGTATAGGCTGGAAGAACAAAAATCGAAAAGAAAGTGCGAAAGACAAAACACTGTTAAATTTTATGAACTGTTCTCCATTAAATGGAAAATGGTCAGTCTATATATGTCATTGATATGTTCTTCATCTATATAGCTATCATTTATACACATTCTTAGTTAGGCAGACAGTGGACCATCTTATGAGGTATATTGGGTTCCCCCTCTGATTTTGATATTTTTGTTATACCTCCAGGATGAGTGCCAACGGCTACACCAGAGTATAAAATGTGGGCTGATCAAATGGCTTACAGTGGTAAGTGTGTGTATTTTGTTTATTTTTACTTTTCGCAGCCAAGGTAATTGTAGTGTCAGTTGTAAAGGGTTTTTATGCTTTTTTAGGGTGAGATTCAGGAGAAAGCAATGGCGCTTCAAGCAGTGAGGGTAAATGATGTAAGTTCCTAAGCTGCCGCATTGCAACGTGTTAAAAAATATTACTATGTAGTTACTTTGAAAGGGATAGGATGCTTAGCATGGTTATATAGTTACATGTTTTCCGTTTACCCTTAAAAACTCTTGAATTTAGTTTCTGAAGGTGCTTTTTACACTTGCTTATACTTTTTTGACCAGTGGCTGGAGTCAGAGATTTTGCGAATTAAAAATCTACGTGATCGAGCAAGTGAGAAGGGACACATAAAGGAATATCCTTTGTTGCTTGATATGATTCTGATGTTTTTGGTATTTTTTACCCTTACATTCTCGACTATGCTGCTACTCTACATATGTCACAAACATACAACTACCAATAAACCTAAGCCTTTTCCCACTACATGGGGTGACGTTGAGTAGCATGCTAGTCTGCTCTTGTTAGGACCATTCACATAGCAAGATGAGTGACTGCAAGGTCCTTTTGATAGTTTTTCCCCATGTCTTCTTCGTTTCCTCATTGTAGGCCTTCATCTCGACCAGATGCAAGTCCAATCTTGTTATTTATTATCTCGGCTACAATGCTTTCTCTTTATGTCAGTAATTGTTTGTTAAATATTTTGCGTTTTTCGCTAGTTAGTGCAATGTACCGTGAAGTATAACTGGCGTTGCAATTCTGCTTTATACTTTATTTTGCACAAGTTCTCAACCGAGCCTCTATATTTATTTATTTTTTTTAATTTTCAATTTTCAAAGTTCTCTGTGCTAATTATGCTTTGAGACTGTGTGACACCAGCAGACATGATACTGGCAGTTTCCATTACTCAGTAGCCTTTCTGTTGGCAAGTAAAGGGTAACAAGTTTATCATGTATTCCTTGACCATGTTGCACGCTCAGAGAATGTGTAGAAAAATTGCAGCTTCTGAACTCACCTGATGAACGCCAGCGTAGGCTGCATGAAATCCCTGAAATACACAGTGATCCAAATATGAATCTATATCTCAAGTCTGAGGAAGTTGCTAGAGAATTGGACGAGAAGAAGAAAGGTAGCATGCACTTTTAGATATCGAATTTCTTTTGTATTGTTGTTTTTCCTATATTGTATATGTGTGTGTGTGTGTGTATCTTTGGTGCTAATTAGCCTGGTGTATGTGTAGAGAACAACATGAAATCAAGAAATTCTGCCTTTGGTGTAAAGGAAAAGGAGCCTGCCTCTCCACTGAAGGGAGGTGATGCCTTTAGTGATATTGGAAGCAGGGAAAATAGCATACCTCATTCTAAAGGATTGGAGCCATCTGTAAATAATGTGGAGACAGATAAAATATGGCACTACCAAGACCCACTTGGCAAAATTCAAGGGCCATTTGCTATGACGATGTTACGTAGATGGAGCAAGAGTGGTCATTTTCCTCCTCAGTTGAGAATATGGAGAGTAAGTGAAAAGCAAGATGACTCCATCCTCTTAGTTGATGCTTTGTATGGGCGGAACAGCCAAGAGCAACAGTTGTTTCATAGTAGCTGCTTACCCACTGAGGACATAAAGGTTGCCTCTGATGATAGAAGTAAGAACGGGGATGGAGATGTTAGGGAGAGTGGGGATATGAAAGTGAATCAGATGGAAAGTAAAATGGTTGAGGGGAGCTCGAACTCAATGCAGAATGACACAAGTGGTCATTGTTGTGGTAACAATGAATCTGCAAGGTGCAAAGAATTGGGCTCTCAATCTTCTCCTTGTACTGCTCCTATAGATGTTGTCAATTCCAATGCAGCACAGACAAGATGTTCTTTACCACACCGGGACTCTGTGAAGGGTCATAATGACTTCCCTGGCCAGCCCCAAGTGAGTAGTTCACTTCCCTCATCTACATTATCTGGGGAGCCATGTGAAACTCAGTCTCGTCAACTGAGTGAAGGTCATGGGGTTGAAAGATGGGACTGTGGTTCGATTAACATGAATGAGAATTTGAATCAGACCTCTGAAGGTCAAATTATTACTGGAAATGTGAAGCAAGATGACAATGAGGGAAAATCAGGCAAATCTTGTGGGCAAAGCTGGCGATCTCCACCTTTACATGATTCTTCAAATGGATGGGACCCCAATTCTGGTCTTATTTCTCTGGCTAAAGCTCTTGAAGCATCAGAACGCAATCAGGGTATTGATTTCCCAGATCTTCCCACCTCAACATCAAAATTCAGCCATGAAGACTCAAAGGGTCAGGCTACTGAAAACAAACAGTCTCTGTCTTCGAATGTCCCTCATCAGGATTCAGGTCCTAGCTGGAGTACTGCTTCTAGTCTAGTGGGTAATGGACCACAGCTTCCTGGAGTAGCTGGTGAATGGGGTGGGTATTCCTCCACTCCAGCAAAACCTTCCGCGGAGGAATGGAACTCAGAACTTGTGCCTGAATCTTCTTTGAAAAGAACTGACTTGGCAAGTGATCATGCCGCTACCCCAACTTCTGGGAGTGGCCAATTGACACATTCTTCTCCCACAGATCCTGCAAATAATCCATCTGGTTGGGATGCAATTGTTCCCGAACAACATGAGTATTCTTTGGGTGATGAATCAGTTTCAGATCTCTTGGCTGAAGTCGAAGCAATGGAGTCTCTTAATGGCTTGGCTTCACCTACATCAATATTGCGTTGTGATGGAGAGTTGGCTCAAGGTTCTGAACCTGATTGTTTTAGTCCTGTAGGAGGACTGAGCCCTGCACCTGATCCAGGAAAAAGTGATGCTTTGAGCTCAACAAATGATCTACAAAAGCCATCTCAGTCAACTGTGACCAACGAGCCATTTGGGGTCTCACAGTCTGAAGTACTTGATGCTCAGAAGAGTTCTGGTGGGCATTCTTCCACAAGTGTTGACATGGATGAAGATCCAAGGCCCAGCGACGTCTCAGTTAACCAATATGAAGCTGGTTCGGACATGCAGCCTGCTGCACCACCTGTAACAACTTGGGGCATGGCTACCGCAGATAATGCTTGGAGATCAGGGCCAGAAACTACAGGCACCAATTGGGGAGCAGCTCAAGGTAATGCACATTTCAATTGGGGAGGTTTAGGTCATGGAACCCCGAATGCAGACTGGGGAACAGTTCAGGGAACATTCCAGGAAAACGGCAGCATCAATTCAGGCACCTCTGCAGGGAATCCGCCAATTTGGGGAAGCCAACAAAGGTACGTTGGTCCAAGGGACCGTGATTTTCAGGGCAGAGATTCAAGTTTTGGTAGGGGCAGGTCCTTATGGAATAGGCAGTCGTCGTCATACGGTGGTCCAAATGGAGTCTGTTCTTTCAGACCCCCGCCCAAAGGGCAGCGAGTTTGTAAATTTTATGAAAGCGGGTATTGCAAGAAGGGAGCATCATGTAGTTATTGGCACCCTTGATTAGGAGTTTTACCAGTAACAACCACAGCAATTGTGTGCATTGAATTCTGTATTCATTATTGGTATATTAGGGAAGTTGCTTTGTTAATTTCTCCCAAAATTTAACCTGTAAAAGTATTTCAATCAAGCTGCCATAATACATATTATTTTCTAGTCTCTGGGATAGCTTTACCCGTTGCAGATAAGCGTCTTGCTTCACTGCTGCGTCCTTCTGTGGGACAGTGTGAGTTGACACAAAAAATGAAGAAAATTCCTGTCAGGATCTGTACTTGTAGGCACGTGCGTAACATGTTTGGTTTGACATATAATATTATTAATATTTTAGGATATAAATCTATTTTGAATTAATTTTTTTAATTATTAAAAATTTAAAATTGAATCAATGGAAAAAATGTAAATAACCTCACTTTATTAGTCAAGCCCCACTAAACGCTGCCGTTTAGTCTATGCTCAAATCGATGACCCCCGCCTCCCTGGCTTTAGAACATCCCACGAAAAGCGTTTCAAAGTTCAAACAAAAAAACACAATAAAAATATAAATCGAAGCCTCCAAAAAGAAAAAACAAAGGAAAAATAGAATCCAAATTTGTCTAATGATAAACAGAATTACAGAAATTTGACTACGCAGGGTCGTGAAATTGCTTTAGGAGCTCGAATTTGTCAGCAAAATTTAGCGGGTTTTCGTCGAGCCATGGCGGCAGAAACGAAGTCGTTTTTGGCGCCGACGCAGAGGTACGCGGCGGGAGAATTGTTCGCAATCGCTGTCCACCAGGCTCAGATGCATCAGACTCGTCCTCTGGGACTTCCCACTGAGGATGATGATCCTTCCTCTGAGGAGCGAATGAGTAGCAGTAGCAGCAGCGACTCCGTCTCCGAAGATCCTGAACTTTGGGTCCACGGAAACTCAGGTCTGCTCCGACCGATTTTCAGGTAGTTGCTTTATTTTCTTTTCCTTTTGATTACTGCATGAGTTGCCTTTTCTTATTTGTTTGAATTACTTGAATTCGAATGTGATCAATGTTTAGGAACTCGCATTCTTTCTTGGGACATTTCAAATTTCGGATTTTTTATGAATTCTTTTCTTTTTTTTTTAAAAATTTATTTGTATTCATATTGGTCAGATTTCTAGATATTGACTCTGCAGCATGGCTTGGACTTGAAGAAACTGCTGGATCTTCTCCAGCCAAACACCATGTCGGAGCAGTATGTCCTTGTTTTCTTTCTCTAATGTATTTCTTCTTGCTCATGTCGTGTTTATGATTATTTGCAGCAGAAATGCAAGCTGTGTCTCAATGATTCTTGTTGTATATGCTATAAACATGTAGTTACTATGTATTGTTACAGTTCTTGAGGTTACTAGCTGAAGAAAGCGAGGATGGTTCTTCTGAAAGATTGGATCAGGAGGTTGCTCTTTCAAATGGTGTTGATACTATGACACTTGGTATGGAAACAAATTCTGAATTCTCCAAGGTTAAAAAAGAGAAGCATCGTGAGTATGAACATGAATATCGTGAGAAATATTCCACTGCTGAGGTGCCATCAAATTCTGAAGTGGCAAACCGACAGATAGAGACTCTGCAGGAGAGCAATACTTATGTGTATAGTGGGAATGATGAACTTCATGTGCTGGGTGGTAGTTTGGATGAGAAACCTGCTGAAGAGGTTGGAATGCTTAGTTACCAGAGGAAAGTGACGGCTCTTTATGAGCTTCTTTCTGCTTGTCTTGCAGCTGCAGATACTTGTGAAGAAAACAAAAGATATACCCGACGAAGAAAAGGCTATGATGCTCGACATCGTGTGGCTTTGCGGTTGCTGGCAACTTGGTTTGATGTTGAGTGGATAAAAATGGTTTGTAAACTCAGTCTGCTATCCTTTTTCTATCTGTCCCTCAAACCCAAGGCTTGCAGTTACAATGTCATTTTAGTAAGAGTAATAACTGAATTGAGAGCCATTGATGCCAGTTTCTATGTAATCTTGAGTGTTTGCCAAATGTGATGGGTATCTCAAGTTTTATGCACTAATGACAACCTCAAAGTTCCTTTCTCTGAATGTCCTTAATTGTCTAGCATCAGAGAAGATTTCTGAGACTATGCACTGTTTGGCCAAGAAACTAGATCTTTCCAGTCTAATTGCACAAGTTATAGAAAATTTTTTTATTTTCTCCCTGTTAGTAAACTTTTGTGCTTGTAGGAAGCCGTTGAGATGATGGTTGCTTTCTCTGCAATGGCTATAGCAAAAGAGAAAGAAGCAAAAGAAGAAGAATCCCAATCATCCGAAGGCAAATGGGCAAAATGGAAGCGTCGTGGTATCATTGGTGCTGCTGCAATAACTGGAGGAACATTAATGGCCATTACTGGCGGTACATGATCATCAAACCATTTAACATTGGTACTTTTAAAACATGAAGTTTCCACTGGAAACAACTGTCTCATGACCTCAATGTTTTTGACTTTTTTGGCACACCATTTTAATATTCAACAGGGTTAGCTGCCCCAGCAATTGCTGCAGGATTTAGTGCCCTAGCTCCAACGTTAGGCACTATAATCCCCGTGATTGGGGCAAGTGGGTTTGCTGCAGCTGCAAGTGCTGCTGGAACTGTTGCAGGTTCTGTTGCTGTTGCTGCATCATTTGGAGGTGAATAACCAATCTGGAATCTCTGAATCTAACCTATCCTAATCACCTTATTTCCTTCTCGCAGGAGTCATAAGTAGTTATAATCTGTTATGCTTATGATGTCAGAAATTTTATACTAATATTTATTAAATATATCCAAGCTGTGTTTGGTACATAGTGTTCTGAAGAAATCTAGAGAGCCTTAGTATACTTATATGTGTTAAACGATATGGAGTATATTTAACACTTAGTCCAATGCAGCTGCTGGAGCTGGACTTACCGGTACTAAAATGGCTAGGAGAATTGGAAGTGTTGATGAGTTTGAATTTAAAGCTATTGGAGACCACCATAACCAGGGCGTGAGTTCTTACAGACTTCCATCTTCTTCTTTTAATTCTTTTTTCTCTGTTTCTGGGGACATAGCAAACTATGGTGTCTGAATCTTATTAATAATCTCAAGATTTTAATTTTGATTTAACTTATCTTTCAGCGACTAGCAGTTGAGATTTTGATCTCTGGGTTTGTTTTTGATAAGGAAGATTTTATAAGGCCATGGGAAGGACGGATTGACAACATGGAAAGGTACTGAATTTATACCGTAATTCACTGTATTCGAAATAACTGTTTATTCTTTTCAAATTTTTTAACATGGATTAAATTGACAAGGAGGATTTTAGGTTTGTGTTGCAGTGGGAGTCCAAGAATCTGATTGCAGTGAGCACGGCAATTCAGGATTGGCTAACTTCAAGTAATGGGTTAACAAATGATTCTTAAATAGTATTTTGATTACAAGAATTGTCTATGTTTGAACATTGCTTCTACATGCTACAGGAATTGCCACGGAGTTAATGAGGCAAGGTGCAATGATGACAGTTTTAAGCACACTTTTAACAGCATTGGCATGGCCAGCAGCATTGCTTGCAGCTACTGACTTTATAGACAGCACGTGGTCAATTGCCGTGAACAGGTTTGATTTTGCTACTGACTTTTAGCAGAGATCTTGGCTGTGAAAAAGGGAAGAACTGTTTTCCAGTTTTATTTTATTAATTAGTACCATGCAGTATTTTAGAGGCTATCTTGCTGTTGTCCTTATGAGAGGCATTCTTTGGTTACAATTTTTACAAGGATTAAATTTAGCTAGTGATTAATTTTCTTCTTCATTAGAATTGGGCTGCTAGTCTAATGACCCTCATGAAAAATTTCGAGAGAACCAAGCAAGGAATTTGAGGGTGACGAAAGAACTGCATATTAAGTAAAACAGAAAAAAAAAAAAAAGAACTCTTATAAAACGATATAGTGTAAATATGAGTAGTTCATGGTTTGGCATTGAATTCATTAGGATCGTGCAAAACTTAAAATAGCTGAATCTTAGGAGAGAAAAATCTGTAGCTTTAAAGTGTCTAAAATGAATATCATTGTGGTTAATGATGTAGATAAATGTCAAATTGAAATCCATGTTAAAGTTTTCTTTGATGAACTGTCACTATAGTTTTATCTGTTATGGACCTTAAATGTTCTACAAATTAAATTCCTGAGACACCAGGCTGGCTTAATTTATTAATTTTATGTGCTGGATGTGGCTGATGTTGAGTTCCCACCTGTCTAAGACATTTAATTCTTTTCTTCAACAGTTAGGAACCGTTGTAGTACATGACATGTGTCTAACCAGATCATTATCTTCTTCCATTTTCTAGAACGGATAAAGCAGGAAAGCTGCTTGCTGAAGTTTTATTGAAAGGTTACCAAGGTAACAGGTATGCATGTGGCTTTTAGGGGAAAGTTGGGATTCATTGAAATAAAACTTCTGTCAAGGATCTTTAATGTTCATCTTGCAATTCTATGAATTCTTCAGGCCTGTGACACTCATTGGTTACTCACTTGGAGCACGAGTGATTTTTAAGTGTCTTCAAGCCTTGTCTGAGACTGAACAAAATGGTAATCACAACCGATCCATCCTTGTGCGCTTTTTAATATGATGTAGTGGATGTAATATCCTAAGACTTCTTTACTGTCTGTTCACAGCTGAACTTGTAGAAAGAGTTGTTCTTCTTGGAGCACCCATTTCAATTAAAGGCGAGAATTGGGAAGCTGCAAGAAAGGTATTTTCCATTTGTATATGCTTTTCATCAGTAGAACATTTGGATTAATTTCTTGAAGTCTTTTTCAGATGGTAGCTGGAAGGTTTATAAATGCTTACTCTACAAATGATTGGATGCTTGGAGTAGCGTTCCGTGCAAGGTATGCATGATCAATGCACTGCTGAACAAAGTTTTAAGGGTTTTAGAACTGTTGGTATATAGATAAATGTACACTGGATAACCTGTGTCCTACCTGTCATCAAGTATAAGTCTAGAAATTGTTTTATTGTGGATAAATGTACACTGGATAGCCTTTTATTGTGGCATGTGTGCTTACTGATTCACCATCTTGTCAAAGAAAGGAGGTCTTGGTGTAATGCATGCATCTTTATATTGTATCACTGTTGTCCCTCCCTTTTGATTTACGGCGCCTTGTCTGAGGCTTGTTAGTCTTTTCTTTTTTGAACAAGTACTTCTGTTTATCACCTTCAATAATATTCTATCACTCGAGCAATTTTCCTCTGATGCAAACTAACTGTTGCTTAAAAAACAGTCTACTCACACAAGGATTAGCTGGAATTCAACCAGTTGGTCTGCAGGGGATTGAGAACGTAAGCCATCTCAGCTATATTTTTTCCACTTAGCTGTTTCTTCTTTCTCTGAGCTCACGGTGTTTTACTAAATAGCACTTTGATTAAACTCTTCAGGTTAACGTAACAGATTTGATCGAAGGTCACTCTTCCTATCTATGGGCTACTCAGCAGATTTTGGACCGGCTTGAACTTGATGTTTACTATCCTGTCTTCAAGAGCACTCTCCATGAATGATAATGCTCAAGTTTCTCTTCAATTTCCTGTGATTATGCTAAGCTGCGTAGGTAAAATATTGCTTGATTCTTTCCATATCTTCATAAAGAATGCGACTCCGAACTCAATAGCAGGGTCAGGCATGCTGGTGCTGCTGAATCTGGAGCTTCTCTTGTCGGTCTGCATTTGTTGTTTATATTTCCTTCTTGCTCTGTGTATATTACTACTACAATAGCTTGCTTGCAATTTAAGCCAAAAATGAAGAAGAAGAAGAATGTAAACTCAAGACATTACTGAAATAGTAAATAATCAAGGTTTTCATTTACCAGGTTGCCAATGCCATCCATTTATATTATTCTTGGTATTTAACTTAATCTTTTTTAATTGGCTGAAGTAGAAAGATGTTTACTTTTATTAAGGATCATCAGATTTAATAATATCAATTGATATTTTCAATTCATGTAATAATCTACGAATGGATCATATGATTTTGACGATCAAGTACATTGATGTAACATGATTACAAAATACTAGTCGATATTGATTTTGATCATCATTAATTTTTTATTTTTATTCTATTCATGAATGGATTTGGACAATTAGTAATTTTTTTTATAAAATTAAGGGTTTGTATGAGTAAAGATTAATTGATAAGGGTTTATTTGAGCACAATGAAATAATAGTGGTTTAATTGTATAAATGGAGATAATTTAGGGAGTTTTTTAATTATTTAAAATTTATATTAATTACCTTGAATTTTTCTTTAAACGACGTCGGAGCTCTAAACGGCCGATACCGATGAGGGAGAAATAAAAATAAAATATTAAAAAAGAAAAAAAAAAGGCCATGGAAAGGAGAGGAGAAGAGGAGAAACAAAACGAGAAGGAAAGAAAAGGAAACGAAGATCCAAAAGCAAAATATTGCATAGGAGCTCGCTGGTTATTACTCTTCCATTCTCAAATCCCAAGATCGCAACCCTCGTTGCATCGGCATCCCTGGTTCTCGCCCACAAGGTCTCTAATATCTGCGTTTACTCTTGAAGAAATTCTGATCCATGTTATATATATATATATATATATATATATATATATGGATTTTGATGTTTACTGATAATCTCGAGTTGGGCGGATTGTTAACGGCATGGGGCCATGAAATGGGATCATATGAGGCTAAATTAAAAAAGGAGGGGGCATGCTCTTAACGACTTTCGTTGTGCTTGCGCTGGTTGCTCCGTGTATATGAGCAGAAATAAAGGTTCAGTCGATAAGGAAGGGGCCAGTCCTGAGTTTCGTGGCTGTGCCGGAATTCAGGTTAAGTTTTGCACTTGCCCGTTCTTGGACGGTGGGTTGGTTCAAGTTTTATGGTGTTTACTTGATTTGAAGAATGGGTTGGTGACTGTTATTAACGGAAATCATGAAATACTGGTGCAAGTGGAGCAAGGTTTATCTGCTTGTCGCTTACCTCCCAATTGATAAGTCTTCTCTTTGGGCACTTTGGTTAAACTTTTTATTGTTTCTAGCTCTAATTGTTGTGTGATTACTGCAAACTGACATGGCCGTGGCTTCATTTTTTTACTGGTTGTACTACGTCGTGAAATTCCTCGTGCTGCCACAGCTTCAGCTCCTGCTCATGTTCATAGCAGAGAAGGTAAGGTAATTTTTATTGCTTTATTTGTCAAGAAGGTTCATTTTATGTCATGACTTTCATTTTAGTCAAGATCTCTAGGAAATACCTTTTTGATTAATTTTTGTATGTTAGCATGGGTTGGGCTGTTGCTATAATTTTTGTATTATTTCTAGGGAGGGGAAATTGTCCATTAATTGCTGATATGATTAATGTGTGATTGAATGAAATAGAGATCGAAATTGTATGTCTCCATGTGCCTTGGACATCACTTGAATCCCCCACTCCAGCTACTTCTTGCCCTTCTTGGATACTCTACTCACCTATTAAACTATGGTTACCACCACCTCGTTGCATCTATAAAGAGTAGTGGTCATGTTATGATTTGTCTCTCGAAACTCTGGGTACATCGACCAAAGATATCATGAGTTTCAAGTTTCAACAAGTCAATGCAGAAGATTAAGAATCGTTTAGCCTTTCAGAATTAAATATTTTCCTGTTACTTGTTTCCTCATTCTTCATCAATTCACTTTCCGGCTTTCCTTCTGAAGATCGTGATATTTGTCAACCTCCAACTCACAAACCCACTCATGCCGTACGAGATGACTTCCTGAACAGGCAAGCAAATGATTTGACTTGTTGATAGATGTCTGACATTTTGTTTTATATCTTGACCTCAATGATGGACTAATCGATTATATTCTGAATGTAGGTTTAGGAGGAATGCAAACCTTGTTGCCTCAGGGGTAGCCAGGAGGAACATGCGTAGAGTGGGGAACTACATGAAAGAGACTGTAGATGATATTCTATTCCCTAACTGAAAGCGACCTAATTAACATATCTGTCCTGAATACTTGAAGATGAGTATCTAGCAATGGACTTCATTCGGAATCTGTGCTCTTCACAAAATCACTTCCATCTATCGTTTCCTTTTTAATGACTATCCATCTTTTCTTTTCTTTTTTTTTTTTTCAATAAAATAGTTGTCTTTGAGTTAGAGAGAAAGTTGTTTTATCCTTAACTAGGATCCATAAGGATAGGGTCATCTATTTTGCTCATGTTATAGGGCCTGCGCGGAGAGTAGGGTTTCACAAGGGTCATTTTTGTACGATAGAACAAGCATTTAGCTATTCAAATTCTGCCAATATTAATCTCTGGTTACATGAATTACTTTAGATGTTGGGACATGATATGGATAAGATGGAATAGATCTGTCGCAATCTGTCAACTTAGAAGCACTGTTTCGTATCATTGGAGGTTTCGTTTTTCACTTTTGAGTTCCATTTCCAGACGAGCCCAACTTCATGTTGCTTGTGGACAATCGATGGGCCTGTTAATTTGTGTTAAAAGTGAGGGTTAGATTTCTTTTCGTTGTTAATGCGAAATTCATGATTTCATGTTAAGTGGCACAGACTAACCCCTTTTCTCTAGTTCGCTTACGTGATGCTTGAGTGAAACATTTTACACAAGTCAGCTAAGAAATTAGCTGTATCTGAGCAAGCATGCGACATAGCCACAAGCGAGTTCGTGAAATGCAATAGCAAAATTATAGAGTATATAGCAAATGCCACGAAAAATGTTTTGTTAATAACAGGATCATAATATCTTCCATGATGTCAGATTTATGGTTCTTTTCCGAAGCTATGATATGTGAGATTTATGGCTCCTTGTTGAGATAATGATATCTTCTCTAATGTTATTTATGATTTTTCGTTGGGATTATAATATCCTCTTTGAGGTGGGATTTATGGTTCTTTGTTAAGATCATAACATCCTCCCAATGTGGGATTCATGGTTCCCCATTGGGACCATGACATCTTCTCTGTTATGTGATCAATGGCTCCTCGGTGGAACCGTGACACTAAGCTTTGAGCTAAGTGAACATGAGACTTTGCATTTGGTATAATGGTAAATTGGTTGTTGTTTTCAAGCTGTGAAGCTTAACAACATCTTCCCTTCTTCCGTTGAAAAACATAAAAGAAGCATTGCATTGGAAGAGAGAGATCCTCAAGTTTTCAATTGCTTCAAGTTTGCTGAGGGTGCGGAACAAGTCAAAAGCTAATTTGAGCGAGACTAAAAGGATCGGATCTGATTCCATGCCTCTGTTCAAATGGGTTACACTGCTGAACATGGTTTTGCAGGACCGCCATTTTTCTTTTCTGCAACATGAGACTGAAAGCTTCGGATTGATATGGAGAAGATGGGCATAAAGGGTTGCCAATCATCGGAAACATGATGATGATGGACCAGTTAACTCACCG